CTAAATCACTAGCTTGAGCCTCTACACTCTCTAAATTACATTGTAAAATACTAATATATGTGAGTATTGTAAAGAGGTTTCGTACTCATTAATGTATTAAATTCAGAAATGTGGTGGACCTTAATTTATTAAACTCTTCTGTAAAGTTAAACCCTCTGGAAAATAATAATGGGTACAATTACTTCTTATATGAATTGTTTGAAAGAAGAGTCTTTTAAGAAATTTGAAAATTATTTAAATAATTATAAATAGCTTTAGGGGTATAGTTTCCTTTGATGCATTTTACCACCCTTTACGAGTAAACTACGTAGACGTTTTTAAAATAAAGGAGTTTTCTCTTGTTTTTAAATTAAATAAAAAATGGTTAGTAAATTATACGCTTATATTTTTAAAAAGTTGTAAAAGGCATAATACATTTTTAAAGATATAAAATACTTATGTAGTAATTAACAAATTACGGTTCTTTTCCCGTAGTCTATCACTAAAAAATGTTGTCTATACTTAATATTTTTAGAGGACGTCATACACCCAATTTCCCAACGTTAAAACTTACTTACGCAGAATGCGTTTTACTCGCTTCGTGATGATTTTAAAGCAAATATACTATTAAAACCCTATATTTAACATTAAAAAAATCACATTTTTTTACTTTAAAAAAAAAAAACTATAACTTATTTTTACGTTATTATTTTCACAATCCGATATGACATTGTTTCGAAAATGTTGTTAACTGATTTTTATAATAGATGTTTTTTCTCTAAAACTACTGTGGATCGAGTAAATCCTATTCTGCGTAGCTAGGATACATTTTTTTTTAAATCGCTGTCAAAGATACTGTGATAGTATGAAAAAAAATCAACTTCCAAAAAAAAGTCCTAATTACTAAACTAATAATTACACCTCATACCTTAACCTTTAAACTAAGATTTCGAAAAAAATTGTCTATACCTAAATCCATAATAATTAAAGGGTTACGTCCTCCTAAAATTATATTAAAATTATTGTGTAAATATGTGTTACAATTCTGAAATGCTTAAAAGATTGTTACTTGATCAGGTAATAATAATAAATTATACTAGACAATAGTAGGGATATCCAAACACTTAACTTTGTTCGATCGAAACCATTGTTCAAAACCGGCGCTCTAGATCGGCAAAATAATGACGCCGACGTTTTATGGACAAACAAATAGTATTTTATCGAACGAGTTTTTTTAAAAAACACCTTAATATTTAAGTGGTTTTCTAAAATATTTAATGAACACCGAAATTGAATTTTACAAATTGGTTACATTTTAACGATTATTATATTATAGTACAGTTAAGAACTTTCATTGATGAGTTTAATAATTCTCTCCTCGTTTTAAGTAGCGTACGTGTGTATGTTTAATTTTCAGTGTTTTATATTTTAAAATAGTCAAATTCAAAGGCAATTTTATCAAGAACTTTAAAAATATGTAAAATTAGTTTAATTTTACATTTCATGTACTACAATATTATAGAAAAAATAGATAAACGTAGGTAATTTAAGTGGCTAGTGGGGAAAAATGATAAAATACCCAGTAATTCATTACATTATTTTAACTTTCGTTGTTTTTAATATTGCATAATGTATGGATCCAAGTAGATATATGAAAATCATTAAGTATATAAAATTGCATTAAGGATTCATGATATTATTTAGTCTTTTAACGCCAATATTTTATATTTTTATTACTATAGTATACTATACTTATACCTAGTTATAAGCGTGACTAAAATGCACGTACCGTTAAAACATCCATATTTGAAGTTTTACTGTAGAACCCATTGATTTTTATACTATAATATATACCCACATTACACGTTGGAATATTCGACAATAGTGGCCAGGTTTTGTAACAATCTATCTATAACAAAATTGTACTCGGTTATTTTTTTTAAATTAGAATTGAGGATTAAACCGACCTATTATGTTTTGATATGAAATGCAATAATATAAATATTCTCGTTTAAGAAAAAGGGTTTTATGGTTTCCGATTGGTCTTTGATAGCAAAAATATAATTTGGGCTACATGCGAAATATGCTGATTGTAGGTCTAAATAATTATAGTAGTAAAATGTATTCAGTATTTTGTAACAACATGTACAACAACAGGTATGTAATTACGTGTCAAATTAATTGTACTGCGTCCGGTTCCGGGCTTGGCCATTACGGACAATATAAAAACTGTGTTTTATTATTATTAGTAACCGCCAGTGGCATAGAGGGAGGGGGTAGATTTTAACGTGACCAAATAGCCGGCAATCACGGTGTATCGCGTGACTCCTCCAACGGCTTTGGACCACCGCGTTGGTATTAACCTGGTTACCCCTTGTCCTACAACATATCCCGACCACCAACCATTTCCTTCCCCTTTCTCCTATTATCCCACACCATGCACAATTTGCGACCAGGTAATTTAACGCCATTACTCCGTAAACGCGGTCGGGCAACTCAACATAGTCGTTGCTGCCGGCTAATTTTACATTGGAAACACTTCCACCCCAGTCCTTGTCAAGCGAGACCCTTTTCCTCGCCTCCTTTATGTAAGTATATCCTTTGGCCCTTTTACAAGGAGGGTTTGATTCAATAGCCTTGGGTAACAATGTATAACTCGGTATGTGTACAGACAAGAGTAAGAGACAAAACCATGAGTAGAAAACCGTGTCAACGGAACAACGCGAAAGGGCACAGCGGAGCAATCTGTTTTTCGTCGTCAACACCACTGCGTGTTTGATCGGCTTATAAATACATAGATATTTATCTAGGCATCCCTTTAGCTAAGTATAAGTCTTTTTACACTTTCATTTTAGTCGATTAATTAAATTTCAGTTAGCTCAGAACGCTAAGCCGCATTGCATGGTTTTTGAAAATATTTTCATTTAGTAACATTGTAATATTAGTAGTCTTGTTGGAACCAACGGCCCAATCTATAGAAGACCACCGCCACATTTGTGCACTATTTTATCATGTGATTCCTTATTTTTTTCCGTATCCCAAAACCTCAAAATCGTAAAATTGGCACACAGGAGGTTTTTTCACAGCAACTACAATACATAAAATAAAATACAAATCTTAATTAATTTATCAATAGAATATAGATTCGCGTCAAATCCGAGGTTTACTAGGCAGGTATAGGACAGACTTCATTAAAAGAATATTTATTTAGTTTTAATATAATAGACATACAGTCAGCAGTAATATTTATCAGTAATTAAATATTTATCATATTTTATATTGTACAGTCATCCAGAAATTGTGAAATTCATTATGCTTAAAACTAAATAGACACTAGTGGTTTTTGTATTTTTAATGAACGTTGACTAATCATAAAATCTATTACTACCATGACGAGGTTTTTATTTTTAAAACGATTATTCTATTTGTCAAACACAATTTTACGATATTTTACTCGAAACTTTATTTTTGTAGAAATTATTATTACTGTTATTGTAAAAATTAATTATTTTTTTAAATAAATAAATAAATAAATATATATATATATATCAAAAACATTAAGTAAGAGGAAAAGAATTGATATTATAGTTTTGAGAAAAAACAGTTGGATAAGTTTTGCGAAATAGCGACTTGTGACTTTGAGCTTTATTTACATAAAGGTTTGTTTCGGAAAAGGTAAGGGATATATTTTGCATGTGGGTATGCGATGAGGTGGCGATGGTGTCGTTGGTGGTAGCGGTGGTTTATAAAGGGTCGCAATGGTCTATGGGAGGCAGTGAAGGGATTTGTCATGTTATGTGACATATGTGTCAAAAACAGGGTCGGAAATCTCGGGATGCGTACACACAAACAAACACATGGGTGCATCCACTACAACGCTTTTTATAATCGCTATTGGCCTGGTGAATCAGGTGGGTGCAAAAAAAAAAAAAATAATATCCCCTCTTTGTATAGTACACATATGGGATGCATACACTACGTCTCCATCACTGTCAGTAAATAATAATATAATAGCATCACGTATACGTAGATGATTATGTCAATGAATACCTCACTGATGTGTAATTCCTGAAAATCTGCAAACGGTGTGGGGGGGGGGGCTGTGGGACTGTGAAGGGTATTTGCAGTCTGTCGAAAATTATCCCCAAAACATTGTTTACGCGCATAACGCACTGTTGTCGGTCGAAAGTACACACGGCCCTTTCCAGATAGTATAATTGGACAACACCATAATTTATAACCCTTCGATCCATCTATTCGATAGTTATCATGTCGGCTTTATTTTGGTTGTGTTTGAGCATCGAAATTGGGAAAATGTAATAAACATACCAGTTAATAATATGAAAACCCGTTTTGTTTTAATTGTATACAGACTGATACACACGACACACGGCATATTGTTTAAGTATATTCATGTTTGCTGCTATTTCGAAAAATGGAATAATTTGTATTTCGCAGTTCACAAATCACATTTATTTTGAGCAATTAATTCCTCCTTTTTAATATGATCAATAATCGATGGTCTGCTACTTTATTAATAAGTACATCGTTATTAAGAATAGGGCCATTTTAACCATATTTCTAAAATAAAAGGCTCAAGTTTGCTGATGCCCGCAAAATAATAAAATTAAGTGAATATTGTCGCTTAAAATGAGGAGAGAAATGAAATCACTTATTAACCGCATGGTTCGTATAAGTGGACGCTCTTGATTTTTTTTAGGTATTTTAAGTCGGTTATCAGAATACCATTCATTTTACTGTACATTTATTTTTTAAATACATTTGTTTATATGTACAAGAAAGACATAATATAACTTTAATTTTTTAATTTTTTATAGCCTTTATTATACATTTAACTGCTCAACAATTACACAGATTAAAGATAGTACGACATAATATAACTTACATGATGGTTGTACCTTCCACTTAACAAAAATCTGAAGTCCACTTACCTTGTTTATTAGTCACAATATTTCCGATAAAAACTTTATCAATAACAATAATATGTTTTTATCTTATAGTTGCCGTACACGTGGTATGTGGAGTCAAATAATGGCATTGCGATGAAGAAACCGGAATTGGACATTCCACAATCGGGCTGGGTACCGTCATTTGTTCAGATATTCCATCTGAAGTTGCCTTGCACCGGTGTTGTCAGTGCCGAAGTTCGCATACAGCTCACCATTAATATTACTGCAGTTAATCCTAAGCACGATGACGTCGTATTAGTTTTTCGCCGGAACAAAATATGTCTCAAGACCACCGACATGCTGTTGGACTCTCTTATCGGTAACCAAGCGCATATTATCATAATATGTACATTATGTCTTTCTCGTTCAGCTCTACATTACACGCCGACTAACAATTAATATTATTATACGTGCACTTTCGTCTGATTTGCATTACAAATTTTACATACCGTGCTTGTACCTTTGAAGTGCATTAGGTATACCAGCGGTCGTTATGCTGAACCACCACTAAAGCATTGTAGCCACGGTTTCGTTTGTTTTAATAATTAATCCGACCTATGCAGAACATCATCGACGAGGATTTAATTAATTAAACAAGCTCGCGAGTATTCACCCTTTTCCCCCTTTCCCTAACTATCTGTACAATTCGAATATACATATATGTGTATTTGTATAAATGGCCAATAATGTATTTCTGCTTAAACAGACGCTTCAGCGATTTTATAACTTGCCAATCTATACATATTAATATAATTTCACATATAGGTAATGTTAAAACTCTAATATACGAATTTGGTAGTATATAATTTCTATTCTTAGTATAGATGTACTGGTAACAATTTAGAGTGTGATAAATAACATCCTAATCGCTCGACGGTGATCAACATTTGAATGCGTTATTAAAATTTGTTAAAGCTTCGCCGTTTTTAACAGGACCACAACTACTAGTTTCCAACGGTTAGAATTAACTACGAAATTCGGACCTTTATTATTGTATTTAAGAACATTTTTAGACCTGCAATATCCTATACTCGCCGCTAATATGTTTTGTCTAACGACACGAGTGGTTTTTTTTTCTTCAGGCAAAGACGAGTCGTTGGAAACAAACCGCGTCGATCATGTTCCACTGAACAGTCCACAACAGCAATACACGTCACACCAACAACCTCAACAGCATTACACATCATACCAACAGCAACAACAACAACAGCAAAACCGCATATCGTCCTCTATCGTTGAAAACACAAGCGTATCGCATTATTCTGCATCGGCGGGAATGGCTCCGATAACAACAATGACTGTGTTAACAACCCAAGAACGTGACGCGCCCGAACAGCTAATGTCCACTGATGGTGCATTCTTCTTTGTACTGGGATGTGGATCTGCACTAATCGTTACACTAGTGGTAGTCACATCTGCACTAGTTTACAAACGCACGAGCAAATTAATATTAAGATCCAAATCAAAAGAATCGCTTCAGTAAGTTCAATTACCATATAACTGTGTTTATTACGTGTAAATCATTAAAATACATAATATTATTGATGACATTATGTATTAAGATTTAAGTATGATGTGATTATTATGATATGATCCTATATACAGGGTATTCAAGAAGTTTGAATGGTTGCGACTTCAATTTTTGTAATAATAGCCTATTAAATTGAGTTGTCGGAAATGGCGGTAGAGTAATTTGGTGAACGTTCATAACTTTTAAGTTACTTATTTCACTATTGGACTACGTGCATTGGACACGCTTACCATTGAAATTTTTTTTTTTTAATTCATTTAAAAATACACACAAAATCAAACATTTTTTTCTTCCTCAGTTTATCGGTTCATTCGGGAACAACACTACTATCACAAGCTCTTTATACATATCTTTAATGACTGACGCGTTATGGTCTATCATTGCTAAATATTTGGTAACTACACCAATCCATGGAATTTTGAATCGTCTAAGGAGTCTTGTTTTATTAATTTTTTTTTTTACTAATACATTTTTTGTTAGCTGGACATCCGCTCTCTATGTACGCTCAAACCATTCTAACCGTTCGCTCCTAATAAAGGAGGTATGGCTTATTATTTAGTATCTTCATATATTCATTTCTTCTTCTTTTGTATGTCTATGTCTCCGAGTTCAAGTTTGGTCTTTATATACTATATAGTTCGTAATACTTTTCTTTTAAACGTGATTATTCTTCTATCTCAGTTGGCATAATAATAATAAAATGAGATCTATTCCCGGTCGTGATCCGTTCATTTATTTTTACATGCATGCTTTTTCTTGCTATTGATGTTGACATCTAAGTATTTGAAATGATCCACTTTTCAAATGTATAGTTATCTCTTATGACTTTTAGAATCTATAATTGGTACTCTTTTCGACACGATCAGGTACTTAGTTTTTTATTTGTTTACGTAAAGTCCCATTTTATTGCTTGCTTTACTAAGTTTTGATGTAGCATTTATGAATTCAACTTTGGTTTTTCTCATCATCTACGTACACCAACATATATAACCGGCTCGTCGTTTATATCTCTTATTATTTTTTCGAGAACTAAGTTAAATAAAGCGGATGAAAGGATGTCTCCCTTTTTAGACCTGACTTGACTTCAAACGGATATGATTTTTTGCAAAAATCCCATTTTGCACAAAGTTCTTTCGTAGCATTGAATTAGTACATCAATTTTAAGTTGTCTTCCATAACTCTTCTTTGTGTCACTATCGTATGCTTGGCTGTAGTCTAAAACACAGATTCAGGTCTTTGCCGATTTCATAATCCTTTACATTATTTGTCTTAGCCCGAGTATTTGGCCTATTGTGAGTTTTCCTTTCCTTAACGGTTCATCATAAATATATTGAAGAACTACTAAACATAAATAGGTACTTAATAAAATAATTACATTTATATTTTTTTAAGAAAATCTTAAAATCATTGTACAATAATAAAAATAATACATTATTACTATTCAACAACATTAATAGTCACACTTTTACATTTTTCAATTTTAGCACAAGTTACACGAGCGCGGCTTACGTGGCCAACCCTAACGTACTGGTCCGAGTCGGTTCGATAACCAGCACCAGTGGCACTTACGCCACCATTCGAAGTGTTAAGAAAATGGGATCGACTACTGTGAAGACCATTGGCTCGAACAGCAGTCACGTGTCACCGTACGCTACTAGTTATGTAGCGGCTGCTGGAGACAATTATCACGTCTACTCAAAGCCTGCATCGCCCACCCCGTCCAAGATATCGTACTACGCATGCACGGCGCTGGTAATTTTTTTTAAATAACACCAATGTAGATATTGTATTATTATTATCATCTACGAAATTTCACGAAGTCCTTGCTCGAGACTTAATTCAAATGCTAGTGCTTTTTATTTAAAACACTTTTGAGCAGAAAATAATTTTAAAAAAGATCGAAACGATTATGATATGTCTATTTGCATTTTTGAAATTGTAGGTGTCTTTTATTTTTAGCCTATTTTTTTACAATATTTACAGATTTATACTCAACAGATTTTATTATATTCAAATTTGCTTATATTACATTTTTGTTTTGCCAGTACTAGGATACTATGATTTATATTCTCCTCCTTTTTTTTCCTCATCTATTCTCTCGGCTATTTTTGGTCACTACTCATTCACTTTAGTTCACACACCTTTCACATATACATAGGCTATTTTTTTTATCACTATCAATTTCTCCATCCATCGACTTTCGTCTATACGTTTTTTGTAATCTAAATTAATTCCCATTATCTTACTGTCTATTCGCTTCACTTCTCATAACATGACCAATGCCTTAACATGCCTTAATCTATTCTTTATCGCCTTTTTTTACAGTGAAGCGATCACGTCAACACATTCTCTTATATGTGTATTCATTTCGTATTGTATCCATCCTAGTTACCTCATACATACACCTCAACATATCATCTCGCTGAAATGCCTATTTTCTGTTCAGATTTCTTATAATATGCTGATCTTAAAAATGTAGTTTATTTTGTTTCATTAAACATGTCTTTAAGAGCTATTACTTTATAATGCATAAATAATTTTTCGTTCTGTATGGTAATATATTTTTATTTGACTCAATATCTTTTATAACGCACAAAAACTTTTAGTCACTTCAAAGTACATTGTACACTAGTATTATCTAAACATCTTTAATTTTCAATTATTATTCAAATTATTCAACACCATTAGTTAACATTTTAATATAGTATGGAAATTCAACACAAAACGGAATACTGAGAATATTTAAGTCTCACGTCTTAAAGAGAGAAAAGTAATTATATGCAAGTTAAATTTATAAAGCCATTAATTTGTAAGCAATATTAATTTTCATTCGTTAATATAATTTATTTGGAATCTTGTTGTCTGTTTCTTTAAAGCTAAATGTTTAAGGTTAAATTTATAATTTGTATCAAATATATTAATATTTTTTACAGTTTTTAAAATTAAAATATGTACGAACATTAAAACACGAATTTAAGGGGAACGGAAAGCGACAATTTTTTTACAAATAAAGACTAAAACGTGGAGTCACTTTCTGAAGTGTCTACCGAACTGATTTAAAACATTTTTTTTTGTTATATAGTTTAACGTCTTCTCTATGGGGCTAAAAGACTGATTCTTAATTTTTGTTTTCAAAAAAAATGTATAAGCATTTTTATTTTTACTTTTTTATAGTTTTTTCTAATACATCTAACTACTGTTTTAATCGCCAGATCAAAAATCGGCCTTACAATCCCCATAAAAAAATAGTAAGCTTCACATAAACAAAAATTGAGATCCGTCCAATAGATACGCCAGAAAATGACTTCTACGAAAGTCATTTTTTATCTAACTTTCTCCAGAAGTCGGAGAAAATTAATTTTAAAAATATTATAATTAGAAAATGTTAATATGTGTTAAACTTGAAATTAGTAGGCATATTAAAAATGCCTATTAGATCAATTTTTGTAAAGTATTGCCTATCCTTTGCCCCTTAATAAATAGTGCTTTCCGTTCCCCTTAAAACAGTTATCGGAATAATTATTTTACCATAATATTTCTGAGATCGGACGCAAATAGCCCCGTGAAAGGTAATGCCGATTTCTTCATTAAAACGTCATTTGTTCTGAAAACAACAAACATACGTTAGCGTGATTCACAGTCTACATAATTAATAATTCGTGGGCATGGCTCTGAACAATTTAACAGGGATATTTTAGATTCCTATGCTAATTATCCGTTAAACTATGTGTACCAGACATGTAAATTAATTCTGCGAGCTTTGCGTTTGCCCTTTCCGGCTGTTCCGCCTATCAACTTGTCTACCTCTGTCGGTCTTATCGAATCACGGTAAACCAAAAATCAATAAACCATAACGGTTATACACGTCTCGTTCCTTCGCTGGTGACACGGTCATTACGCAAAATCGTTTCACGTGATTCAGGCACATTACCACAGATAAATCATCTCGAGGTCGTAACCGATTCCCACCCACCAAATGGGCACCGAGCCATTTAACCGGATTAGAAACGCAACAACCCCGTGGTAGATAATGTGTAGAATCAATGTCCTGGCACATTTTTTTCGTGCTCGGACAAAACACTTGAGTGGAATTCTGCCAACGACGGAATAGCCGTAATGTGAACCAAAATCGACGCTTCTGTCGTCTTGTTTATTACGGCCATTATAGATTTTGGGTTAAAGGACTTTCGAGACTCAATCAATCATACATTTCTTTTTATCGTTGACAAGTCTGAAGGGCAAGAAAAGGGAAACAGGAAGGTACATCGTCACTAGTTCAATACGTCATCAAAATCAGTTTATTCGTTCACTTTTATACTTTTTTATATATATGCGTGTGAATGAATAATAATGAATGATCGGTGAAAAATAAAATGAGAAAAGGTTCGGGTATAGGCTTTTATAAAATAAATTATGACTATAAAACTATATCGTTAATGCTCAAGTCCCCTAATGATAATTGCAACGGGAATTCAAACACCCTCCGAATGTCCCGTAACTGACCCTACACGTATGATAAATTATATATGACGCTAATTTCCGAACCCAAAGTAATGTATGGCGTGGCGTGGATTTCCATTGTTTCCGCTTAGATGGCCGTTAACGATCGCAAAATGTACGACGACTTAGAAGACCGGATTGTATCGCTGGACTCGCACGGTGTACCGGTCAAGTTGGAAAAGCTGCTACAGGAAGGAGCGTTCAGTAAGGTATATCAAGGCGTGTACCAAAGCAAAAGTGGTGTTTCTCAAGAAGTGCTCGTCAAAACGGTCACGGGTAAGTACAACATGATACATGTTATCAAAATACTTACAAAGAATTGTTGTATTAAAATTTACGGGGCAAATATCTTTAACTACAGATCAATAGATAGATTATGCGCATACTAATAATTTAAACGTCTTAGTTTAAAAATAAACTGTACGCTATTTTGATTGAAGTAATGAGAGCTAAAAGGGTACGTGTTTTAAAATGGTAACATATTTTTAAGCAAATTTTTTTATCGTGCAATATTATTGTTGTTAAAAACCCCTATTTCTATCTGTAACAATACAAAATTGTTACTATTTTACCTACATTTTCGAATGGGATATCAAGGAAGATGTAACATAACCTACAAGAATACCTTAAACATATGATTTTTAATTTGATCACTTGTATAATTTTATAAATATTACTTATACCTTTTTGGTTCTCATCAATTACATTATAATTTATTTATAGGTCTTGCCTAAAAAATGTGAAATTGTCTGATGATTGGATATTTGTTTTATTTTATTTTATCTGAGACCTTTAGCTAATTTTTTAATATCATTCTTCATTCAAATCATGATTTTAGATGATCAATTACAAATAAGTTTAAACGTAAATTAACTAGAATCCATATTTTTCGAAGTATTGCAGTAGTGATTTATTTATTCGTCTACTCTGTATTTTAATTAATTTTTGTTTAATATAGTAAGCTTAACAATTCTTAATATGACATTTAAGTAGTTTACTTTCAAATCTATAGCATTACTTATACGGAATATAAATTAACTTATTTTTTGCGACAGAAGCATTTTGCATGTATCTACTTTAAATAAAAAAGCAAATAAAAAAGAAATTCAACTGTAATCTATACAGTTTCGATATTGCTATAGATTGAAATGATATAAAAAGTTGCCTATTAAATCTAAATATTTGCTGACTGGAACAAACATTTTTATCCCTAGCATTTGATTAAAATAAAGTACATTCACTTTAATTTATTTAAACGTCAATGCTAATATTAAGTTGTAAATATACACGTCTGCAATTTAAATGCTTTTCTCCGACGCAACAAACAATATAATATAATTCACAATAAACAACAAAAAGAATTTAGTCAAGCCGTCAGACTGGTTTTGTAGTTTTATCACTTGAATAAAGTTCATTATAAAGGGCGAGATAGCTGGAAACAAAAATCGTCATAACTTCTAAAATGTTAGTTCTAAAGAGTTCAACTCTTTGTCAGATGATTCTAGAATTCCTAGTGTGTGTGTTATTATAAGTTATAACAATTGTAGTAAAAAAAAAAAAAAAATACAACAAGATCAATTTATATTTGATCAACTCGACTCTCTTGGGCATAACTTCACGCTCATTCGAAAACAACTTTAATCGTCACAGAAAAAACATTTCACAAAAAAAAAAAAATGAAAATAATTTTCATTTTTATCCTTCTTTTTTGTATCTTCTTGCCTACAAAAGGAAATATTATGACCGACTAAACAATATCCGGTACTTAACTATCTATGGATAGTGGGACAAATAGTTTAAAATAAAATATGAATATAATACCTATGAATAGGTAATAGGAAAAAGTAAAATAAAAATAAATAAATACAAATTTTCAATACTATCCGTCAACTACAGATTTTTGAGAAATGTATAAATGTTAAAGCCCTATTCTAAATCTACCGTTAGACTAATTATCAGGCTTTAATCCTGAAATCTTCACCTAAAAAAGCGAAATAAAGAAAAAGTTCCACCTCTTCTAGAGGAAAGGGTTTAAAATATTTGTTTGGTTTGTCAACGCTTATCGGCATTACTATATTTATAGAATATTCCATACAAAATTGGAACTAATTCGACTATTTTATTTATTTATTAATTTATATATATTTATACGCTTCCAGGGCAATACTAAAAAACATCATAAAAAAACAATTTATAGAGTGATTGGTCCATGTATAACCTATATAAAACCTATACTTTTGATTCAAAAGTCACAATATTTTTTACTCGTACTTTGTATGATAGGAAAATAATGTTTTTACAGGAGATGCTGCATCACAGCAAGTGACTATGTTCCTGACGGAAAGTTTAATGTTGCATGGCCTTCCTGGTCACGTTAACATTATACAACCAATTGCTGTCTGCCAGTATTCTAACAAACCTCCCTCCGTATTGTACCCTTTTAACAACAAAGGAAATTTGAAAAAGTATTATCAGCTTATTCATTTTATACTTGTATTTTCGTCTATCATATATAAATATGATTTAAAAATTCAATTTCTTTTTTTACAGATTTCTGTGTGATTGTAAAAAGAAAAATAATGACTACTACAACCTTACTACTAAAGACATAGTCAACATGAGTGTACAACTATGTTTAGGATGTGTATTCTTACATAGCCAAGGTATTTGCCATAAGGACATTGCCACTAGAAATTGCGTGTAAGTAAAATATCATAAAAAATACCTTTAGAAAATTAAATTAGAAGCTATACAATATCCTTAAATATTTTATTACGTCTATTATTTATGGACCATGAAATTACTCGTACTATTGACCTAAAAGTAGTAACCGAATTAGTACATACTGTATGTTTATAATACATTTTACAAAGCCTTGCCATACGTCACCCGTAATCGTAGTTGTTATCGATTTGTCTTAATATTAATGAAAAAAGTATACATTTGGCAAACTACAAATTATAATCAAGGGCCGATGATCGTAAATGAGTCTTGAACTCGCATAAGTGAATAGTGGTAAATGGACATATATAATACCGAACCTTAATAATAAAACTAGCTTAGTGTGTATGTATATTATGCAATCATTTTTTATATTAATTTATTAAATTACAATGATTTTTAAAAGGCAAAAGCTCAAATTTATTTTAAAAGATTAGTCTCAGATAATAAATATCAAGTTCGCTTCAACCTTTTAGAATACGTCACAATATGATCAAGTTTAAACGTTGACAAAGTATTACAGTACACCATAAATAGTATGTTAAAGCTATTTATAAAGGATATTATTAATATTACTTAGTTCTTATAACCCGTCAACGTCAAGCAATATTATTGACGGGTATAATATAATTTTAATCATACTACACTGATATGGCTGTTTTAAAATAAAATACATTGCATACATGCATTACTTTCTGATAATAACGTATAATAATCAATGTCCACCACATTAGTACCGCATTTATAGGCAATTTTTAAAAGTATTATTTCCTATGTCAGTGTTCTAATTTACTGAGACTTATAAAAAAAATCCGATTAGGCACAAATAAACATGCATGTTATAGCATTAACTATTAAGATCAATACATTATCTTTTATAGAAAATAGAAACAAACAAATATAATTAAGATTTCTGCTTTGAGTCTTAGAAATTAAAATAATTAATTAAAGTGAACTTTGTAAACAAACACAATAAACTAATTTTAAACTGAATACACGCCAGTTTAAATTCTTATATGTATTTCAAAAGTTAGTTACACTATTAATTCATTGTTGCAAAATGCTATCTAAGTTCAAATGCTTACACAATAGCTCTTAGATTTAAATAGGCTTGCTTGTTACGTTTTAGACATGTTTAGTGTAAAGTTTTCAAAACAATGAATTTCTAAGGGCTCTGTTAAAATCAGGCGTTAGTGAACTTATGAAATAAGATCCCCACGTTGAACTTTAAAATCACTGACGGGTGTTTAAAGAGGGACACGTAAATTGTAATTTTCTCTTCCCTGGTTTACTCCTCTTTCAAGCTAGTCCCTTTGAAATCTGTTTACGTGTGTCCCCTTTATTATTTTACTCGTTCGATTAATAACCGCAACTGTTTGTCTATTAGGGTGGACGAAAAGTTGCGTGTTAAACTAGCCGATAGTGGTCTATCCAGAGACTTGTTCCCTGAAGATTACTCATGCCTGGATGACAACGAGAACCGGCCTATTAAATGGATGGCGTTGGAAAGTATCACATTGCGAACGTACAATGGTGCCTCGGACATAGTAAGTCGTTGCTCTAATTTTGATTTTGTAAGCCGAATCGCTTACTTGCATGAATACGTTCGTTAAGTGTTTAACGAGTCATAAAATTATTTTAATTTAGTAGGTACTACTAAACCACTTTGTAGTTGTTTAAAACTTATTTAGTAAATAACTTGCAATAGCTTACTAGTAGGGTAAAATACTGCTTGTTGCAAGATAACCGAATGATAAAAAAAGAAAATTTAAATAATGAAATGAGAGTAATTTTTTGGGGAAGGGAGGGTAATGAATAACTATTTCACCCTACGATAGTTGTAAACAACGATTGTAAGTAAAACTGTAGGAAGCTATATTAACCACAACATATAATGTCATTTGTAATAAAAACTAAAATCTACTATGATTAGTACCTACGATGGATGTGCGTATGAACACTGTACACGCTATCATAAAATTATTATTTTATATATATATATATACATATAAATTATGTTCAACATGAATATATAATGTTCAAAATACTGGAAATTAATGACACTAATGGATTTTATCACGAACTTGTACTATGTTTTAAAAACAAAACCGTAAAAGTTACATTATAATATTTATGTGTTGATCTTTTATAAAATAATAATTATAACATATACAACATACTACCTATTACAACACCTAGCGTGTTTTTTAGCTATAATACTCGTATGTGTTCCCTTAAAAAACAAGTAAAATATATTTAATCTAAAATATTGAAAAATATGCTAGTTTATTAATACAATTTTAAATATTCTATGTTAATGACTGATGTTTTTTTTTTTTTAATATCTTTTTTTAGATATATATATTTTTTTACATAGTGCAGACCTAATTCATCGCCGCTTTCATTAACTCTCACTTTAAATTCTATAATATACTTTTTTTTCTCCTATCGCCATTGAATATTTTTTAATTATTTTATTAAGAATCAGGGACCTTAATCTTAATTAATTAAGATTTAGAATTCAGATACAATTACATAATATTATATTAAAATAATATTCACATTTGTGTATGATGTATTTTATTATATTCATATGAATATGATAACATTCAACTTTTTTTTTTTAGTGGTCTTATGGTGTCCTTTTATGGGAACTCATATGTTTGGGATCACAACCGTATGCCAATATTGATCCATACGATCTCAGTCTGTACCTGCAAGATGGCTACCGACTTTCACAACCAATAAACTGCCCAGACGATCTGTAAGTAAATAAAAATCGTAATATAACGAATTAAAATAATCCCTAGTACTCACTATTAACAGAAATAATTTCCAGCTATTGGATTGTAGTTGATATATAGTGCTAATTATTTGAAACTCAAAAAACCTATGTAATATGTTATAATTGTTATTATTATTATAGTTTTGGCATGATGACTTGTTGCTGGTTACCTAATCCAGAAGAACGGCCGTCATCCGCTCAAGTGTTGGCTTGTTTGCAAGATTTCCAAAAAACTCTTACCCAGTTTATATGAATGTTTCTCAAACTTTGTACATTTATTATTTATTGTTTTGTTTTTGTTTATTATATAGTTGAAACAAACTACGTTTCTCAAATTATAATTACACAGGTGCTAAAACAATTAACGTTTGTCTGATTATAAATGTATTAATTTTTTTTTTATTCAGTGTATGTTTGATGTTGGGTTGTGAATCGATGAATTCGATATCATTTAATTTATTGAAAAAATAATACCTTCTTTTTCATATAGCATACGCCATATTGTTATTAAGGTAAAATACTAAAAATTCAAAGTAAATTTTATTAAATGTATGTCTTATAATTATTCTGTCGTATTTACACTTTTTAACTCTACAATAACAAATATATGTTTTAATTGAAGTTCCCGTGTTTAACTATGTTATATTTAACTCCCCTTTGGATTTCTCTTAAATAATTATACTCATCATCTCCTACAGTAGAATAGGTAAATGACATTAAGATTTGTGGATTTAGAAGTGAACCCGAAAATAAGTAGATCGAACTACTTATAAATATAGAATAACGACATGTATAGGTAGAGACGTAGATGACGACAGTTAAATACGAAATTATGAAGAGAGGGGATTTAGCTAGCCAAATGATCCCGTTTGTATGGGATAACGCCGCTAGAAAAAGAAAAATATATATATTTTTTTAATACACGAATCAAATAAACAATTAGTTATAACATAAATTTAAAACTAGAAAAACAGTTCACCTAACCTAACCTATAAAACACATAATTCGTTTTACTATAAGTGTACTTTTATCTTCTATACAATATGCACTGGGTAGATGTTATGAAAAAAATTCTAGTGCATGTAACCTTTTATTATCAACCTTTTTGAATGTCCTATGAAATTAACTTTAAACGATAAAACGGGAATCAACCATTCCATTTTTTGATTCTGAATGTGCATGATTGCGTTCAATAATGGTTACGAGTTAACCCCGTTTTTTTTACCTGGGGTTGAAACTATAAATATAAAATTATATATAATGTTTCCTCGTCTGTGTAATAATATGCTCCCTTCTAATTATCTGCATGAGTTTTTTCGATCTCTACTTTTATTCACCAATTTATTATACAATTGAGCCTGGTTGAATTTGAATATATTAACGCATTTACGTAACACGGTACACAGGCAGTAAAAAATAATTTACATTTTCGTTTTTCCAACACTCAATATAACAGGAAAATAATATCAAATATGACCGCAGAACGAGTAAGTAAGGTGAATGTTTAATACGAAATTTCGAGTGATGAAAATATTCATGCATGTTATATTTTTATCAAGTGCAAATCGATAGGTATTATTTAAATATAAAAAAAATGTATTGATTGGAATCGAACTATACTGGACGAGTCATAGCATTCTAACGGAGGGCTTATACTAATGGCTAGTGGATATTATGGATTTAAATAACACTAATATAAATTATAAACAAATTCTAAACACCATTGAGTATCGACTGTACTCGATGATATCATCTACGTCCAAAATTTAAATGTTGTAAGTAGATACTTGCATAGAGTTTAAGCAAAGTAATTATGTAATAAAAACAGTAGCCGCCAGTTCGAGCATTATACTACTTATCGAAAGCAAACAGTAATAGCATTCCATCTTACGTTACTATTGATTTCTTGTACGCTAAACTCTTCAATGGTCACTTCTCTTTACACCTCTACTCAATCTCGTATACCGTAATCTAGTTTACTGATAATTATTAGGCTTTTTGCTTGTCTGCGGCCGGTTAGAGCCGATTATAGCCGTTCGTGAAAATACTGTGGCAAACACAAATTGAGGAAAGAGTCGTCCACGTTGGTGAAGATTAGAAACAGTGTGCTTATAATCATCTGTCGTAATGAGTATACAGTCAAAGGATTCTGGATATTGAAACAAAATGGGAAAACGTAAAACATTAACGAATTATTTTTGTTTTGTATGTGCCAAATAGTTTATATTTTTCTGTAAACAGTACGTGAAATTATCTCGCGCAACACGTTAGCAAAACAAAGTAGCTTCATCAATCATTAATAACTAACGTAAAATGCATGCCTACATTAATTTATGTCGAACTAGATACCGCAGTCTAAATTAATCCTCAAGTTGAACGTTTTAAACCCTCGACGTTTTATGTAGGTACGTCATGCGATAAGCGCATTTCAAATGGCATTATTTCTATTGTAAAATTCTGCGGCGTCAGTGGAGGCAGTGGAAGCCGTTGTCCCTCAGTTCCTACAGAGTAGCAAAATATAGTATACCTATTTTGCCTCTCAACGAATTAAAAAAATGATTTACTATTAAAATTATCTGAATTAAAAAATAATTAGCGTTTTTTCATTTTAAGTTATGATTTTTTTTTTTTTTATTAACCTTTTAGTGTATATAGCCAATAACCACAAATTATGACATGTACAGGTTGACCACGAAAACATTTTACATTTTCAAAAAGGCAAAATAGTATTAATTTTTCAAAAAAAAATTTTTTTTTAACTTATGTAAAATATTTGTGGATGTATGCCATTTATTTTACAGCAATTTTCGAGAAAAAAAAATGTATTTTACTTGATATTATATAATAATATTATGTTTGTGGGTGTAAGCCATTTACTTCAAGTAGCAAAAATGAGATCAGGAAGGTGATGTCCGTCTTCCATGAGGCAATTTTCAATTCTTTTGAGGAAGTTCTTCCACACTCGTTCTAGTGTCTCCCTCGTGATTAGTGGCACCTCTGTACGAATTGTCGCTTTTAAATCACCCAAAGAAAATTGCCGTACACTTGTGGCTTACACCCACAAACATAATATTACACAATATCAAGTTAAATACATTTTTTTTCTCGAAAATTTCCGTAAAATAAATGGCATACACCCACAAACATGTTACATAAGTGAAAAAATTAATATTATTTTGCCTTTTTGAAAATGTAAATTGTTTTCGTGGTCATCCTGTATAACAATTTTTTTTTTTTTTTTTAATTAAATTAAATTTCTTTGTTTATTTTTTGTTTTATTGTTTTTAGCTTCACTACGTAGTTTAGAGGATTAGTGATTTTACCATGATGTGTGATTTTATTTTTTAGTCTGTACCTACTGTAGTCTGTAACTTTTTTAATATCAATTACAAAAGGCCAATAATTGTTTTAATTTATGCTAGAACATTTGTGTGTAAAACAAATACTTCGAATAAAAAAAATTATGCAACAAGAGGATCTTGTTTTTATTTTAAAAAAACATTAATGAAAAGTTTAGGCATTAAATTAATTCCTGGTCAGTAACATCTAGGCCGGGACCCATAGGGGTTGTGTCTGGTGGAAAATGTTTGCATTAAGTCATGCAAAAACTTTAAATGATTTTGTTTGTTTTATAAAATTTTAATAAAAAATAATAATAATTCGGTTGCGATATACTTTTTTTCAGCAAAATATCATGTAAAAATTCAGAGAGCTAGCAAATGAAAATAAAATGTTCGACTGAAAATTAAAACACTTTTTTTTTATAACGCTGAACATAAAATAAAAATTGAATGAATATTTTTTGCTCAAAAAAAACATTAGATAAATTACTCACAAGTTTTCCAAATAGTGACGGTGACGAATTTAGTTTGTTGGCGGTTCTCTCTTTCTAATGTAATGCATTTTCTATGTAGGTACCTATTGTAGTTCTACTGTTTTCAATGCCTATATTTGTAAGTCAAAATTGTTCACTCTGTTTTTATAAAAGAGAGTTTTTGACTGATGTGACATTTAATTTTATTAATAACAATTGTTTTTAACTTAACTGAACGTAATCTTTTTAAGTTTTAGGCAACTTTAGTTTTTGTTAAATATATTTTTTAAGCCGATTTATAGCTATTTTTTTCATAATCATTATTTTATTATAAGCGTTTCTAAAGCAGCCATTAAGGCGTTAATTTTTAATTACTAAAACTTTTTTCATGGTGTGCAACAATAACGGTATATTGTATTATATTTCGTATTATTATTGCAGGCTGCAGCTTACTTAAACTGGGGATGTGGTTTTGTAAACAGTGGGCCCTCTATAATATTTGTGGCGTACCAAGGATTATATAAATCCGATTATGTGTGCACTTCTAGTAAACCGATAAAGTATGTATTCAGGGTGGTTGGTTATTATCAAAAGAATTAAAGCTTCATGAATTCCACTATAGAAGTTTTTTTGTGTTGATTATTGACAATTCCTATTGGTGACAAAAGCAAACTCATTGTATTATATATTTTGTCTGTTTCGGAAACTTTCCAGCGGTCTGACGATGACAGTTTACTAATGGATTTTCACACCCTTGAACGTTTTGGTAAAATACGGTTTTAACATTTATATAAACCCTTTTAGGATTATTTTGTTGGTTTTGTAAATTCTTTAAAAATTGTGTTTGTGGATAATACGCAAAATCGACATTAGTTATCAAACATAAGCGGTATTGAATGGATCTGTTATTTAAATTATTGGTTTAAAATCTAAATGAAGAAATATTTAATAGGCAAGATGGTTCACTATATTATTTTGATATAGAGTATTTAACAAAAGTATTTTGAAAGTTATAGGTACAAACTTGGAAAAGCAAGTAAAAAAAAGTAAATAATTTTGTAAAAATAAGGAAATTTAAACCAAGGAGTCATAAGGGATGCGAAACCCGGTCGTAAAACGGGGTAATTCCAAAACAATTACAGATACAAAAACCAAACCCTAAAAATATAAAACCTGATAAATAATTGTTTTTAAAAATACATTTTACAGGTTTTAAAATTTGATTTTTTTAATCTTTCTTGCAGGAGTTTTAAAAATCGTTTTTAGGAGCCTCTCGATATTTTTTTACTCAAATTTTATGAAACCCTAATCCCTATACGCGAGACGTGTGTGAAATTAGCCCACCATACATTCAGAATCGATCCAACAAATTTTAATTAATTTTTAAGTAATTGTTACCAGGTTTTTATAATTTGTAGCTTCTTACCTTATGAGAAAAACGCAAATAAAAAAAAACTATCATCAATGGTCAAAGATATGAATTTGTAAGTAATTGTAACTAAGTTTTTAAAATGTCTTTTGACTCCGCTTGAATAATATTTATTTTTATTGTAATTAACATATTAATGATAAGTTACGCACTAAATGAGAAATCTACCTAAATTTATGATTATGATTTTAGTATACGTAGAGTCAAGTGTAGACCGTAGTATTTACTTTATATTACATATTGACGTATTTAATTCTAATAAAGTACCTAGGTTTAATCATTCGGATAACGGATTTATAAAATGTATTTTAGAAAACTAGTTTACCGCCGGGATACCAACAATAAACGAACCCGTCATAAACTGTATACATATGTCATATACTATTATTATGTATACCAGTCAAATTGAATTTTTAGTTGATAATGTAATGATTATAATTAATACTAATTATATATTTTATATAAATTATAATTTATATTTTATAAACATTTATTAGAACTAATGGTACCTATCTATTTTAGTTCGTAATTTATATGTACAATCAACTCCATCTAGGAGTTACATTTTAAATCGTTAATATTTTTAATACTTCAGTAAACAGCTTGAAGTAATCATCAAATATTTTGTCACAGGTGAGTGGTGACATTACCATAAGAAATTCAGTGATAATAGTATACCGAATAGTTATAATAATATTAAGTATACTATGAGAATGTTCCTACTATGTATTTATCTAAGTTATTGAAAAATTAGGCATCTATATATTGTTTATTATTTAATTATATTTATATTTTGTTAAGTTAGTTTTTTTTACAAATATAATTTTTGCCAATATCTAATGATAATAGTAGTTTAATTTCTACAATATGGTTGAAGTTTGAGCAGTTACTGGTTTTTGGTGAACTAAAAATGGAAAAGTATGTCTTTATTTAAAACACAAAATTCTGATACATTATTTATGTAAGAATTTAATTTTAGTAAATTATTAGCCGACTATGAACAACAGTTTGGCGTTACAAGTGCTGAAATTACATCGAAAATCAGTAGACTTGCTCATATTACCGGCAGTAAGTTGTAAAATTGTAATAATAATATATTGGACATATTCATACTAGTAAATTGAGTTCCGATTTTGTTTCTGTAGTTGACAGAAATGATTATGTCAAAGAAATAGAACGGAATTTAGACGAAGTACACGATCTAGTAAGTAAACAGTATTTATTGTTATAGTTATTACTTTCCGCAATATAGCAATCACATATTTTGATTGTTGTGTTGTGTCGATATACTTGTTTCTTAGTTAGAACAAATGGACTTATCAGTTAAAGAATCTGATGTGTCTGTAAGAACTAAGCTTCATAATAGAGTAGCTAGTTATAGAGCTGAACTTCATCGACTGGCAAAAGAATTTGCAAGAGCAAAATGTACTGTCAACATTGATTTAGGTTCGTGAATGGAATCATTAAACATAAACAACTTTTAATATTAATTTAAACTATTATTAGAAGATGAAAGTAATTTTGTGGAAAATGAAGACGCGAGTTCAGAACAAAAACAAAGACTGTTATACACGTCGGAGCGACTTAATCGTGCTGGAATACAGTTGGATAATACTTATCGAGTCACTGTAGAGACAGAAGAAATTGGTTCACAAATATTGACAGACTTGAGTCGTCAGCGAGAGACTATGCATAATTCGTTTAATAGAGTAAGTTTTCGAATGAGAAAAATCAATTTTTAATCACTTTTTATAACATTTTATATTACAGCTAAAAGATGCTAACGCAGAGCTCGGGAGAAGTACTCGAATGATAAATGCCATAATTGTGCGTTCTCGGCAACATAAACTAATTCTATTTAGTGTCATGGCAGCATTTTGTTTCCTTTTAATGTTTGCTTTTTATCATACATTCCTTTAAACTCATTTCTACCACTAAATTATACTTATTATTTTTTTTTTTAATTAAAATTGTTTTACAATTATTTTTGTTTTTAAATCAATAAGCCATTGAATCTACAAACATTCAATATTAAATGTGATATAAATATGTTATACCAAACCAAATAGTAATAGTAGTTTAATTTTGACAAAAATAAATTAGGATATTAAATTCTATAAACTTGTCTTAACCTATTTATCTATAGCTATTTTTAATTTAATTTTTTTTTTATCTGGATTAAATTTGTCTTATTTAATTTGTAGTGTTTTATCACTTAAACACTATTATTTTATTGATGGCGATTATAACTAAAATTGTTTGTCATTTCTTTTAAAATATAGTATATGGGTGTAGAAAAAATATTATGATAGGCAGCAAATTTGTAATTCTTGTAGTAAGAATACAGTGCGGCAGTATGAGTCGTTGTAAACATTTTGATTCGTGGAATAGTGTTCAAATACAGCTATGTATACTAATTTAGTGGCTGGTGTATACTTAAAATATATCTAGTTGATAAATCATTAAAAACATTGGTTTAAAAAATTAAAAAACATCTGAAAATAAATCTTTGTAGTATAAGTACTACTGTCTACTAAACACCAAAGTGTAAACAATAAAACAAATATATATATTTAAACTTCTTTTTTCATAATCCAGCCAAAAAAATTACATTTGAAAGCCATCTTCAACTGAAACAAAAAACGTCTTGATCATTTCGTCGGTTTCTTTTTTAGATTTACTAGTAAATGTGGAAAATTGTGGAAAATCATTTTGTAAAATCTGCCAGAAATAAAAATAAACATTTAAAATGAATGCACTTTTAGATTGCTACTTTTTTGTTTAATACTTACGGCTGAACATTTTTTTGTAGCATGTTTTCCTTGAATATGCAAACCAACTACCATTACTGGTATTTTATTATTAAATAATTTATTTTGATCTTGTACACAGTCTTTTACACTTATACCATCACGATGTATGCACCTGACTAGTGTTAAATTAGTTTCCTAAAAATTATGTTAAAAAAATATATAGATATATAGGTAAAATGTCTTCTAATCTATATTACATGTGACTGTAAGGCTTGAACAAATCGTGCTGCCTCGTTCCCATTTTCAAATGCAACAAAACAACTATCTTCAGATTGCTGTTCACGTTTTGTAAGTGGCACTAATGAATTGACAGGGTCACTCGTTATTCCATACCTTCAATAAAAAATAAACTTCTAATATCATAAATGTCAAGCTCATCTTAGAAACTTAAAAAACAATTACTTGTTTAACTCCTCCGGAAAATCCAAACTAATAGGTACCTCAGTAAGCATCCAATTATCTCCTTCGTTCCATGTGTAATCATACACAGTTCGCCAATTGTTATTCCATATGTTCAAATTGGCTTTCTTGAATTGTGCTTAATAAAATTTAATTACTCATTTAAATTCTGTTCTTAAATTATATTAATTTGTTTAGAAACATGACCAATTACCTTCCAACTGATTGTAATACAGTTGGTAACAACTAAAACTCATTTCACGACTGGACTCTATTACCGGTTGTGTAGAACAGAATAATGAAACATTCAGAGATGTACAATCCCGCACTCTAAATTGACCACAAGCAACTATTATAGTAGTGTTGACTGTATCACGTACGAATACACTAAAATGATAGAAAATTATAATTTGAAAAATACTTATTATAATTATTAACATTGATATAGTACCTCTGTTTAGTCGGTCCTAATATTATAGTGCACCCTTGACAGTCATCGATAGTAACAGAGTCTGAATAATCCAATACATACACATAGGAATCTTCACAATTACGTACAACAAATTGTTGACCGCCAACTGTACCGGGTGCTTTGTACATTGTACTATTGGATAGATTCTCGATAACATAATCTGTTGGGTTCAAGTGCTTACGTTCTACCCTAAAAATATTATATTTTTTTATTTACATAGGTATAGAGAATACATGGCATTAATGTCATGGTGCAACTTGCCATGAGTAAACCAATTTTTTTGGCTCTTCAGACGCTACAGCCTTACAACAAAAACAACCCATTGTTACAATTTATTAACTACAGAAAACCTCATAAATACACGTCGTGAGTGTATGTGGTTTATACTAATGCCTACTCTCATTTCTTCAAATGTAGACAGTTGTAAGCATTAGTCGTCATGGCAACTACAGCAAGGGTATCTATCAACATTATCTAGGTATCTATCCTACTAAAATAATAGATATATATTACATTATGATTTATGAATACTATACAACCAAAAACTATACAACTATTTTAAAACCTTTACATTTATGGATTTATAAATGTTGTTGTACAACTTCATGTTGTACCAAAAACCGGCTGTTTTGTTAAATTTTCATTTTCAGGCATCAATTTTGACATTAACTTTTGGGTATGGTTTATGCGTTCAGCACACTCTAGCTATAAAACCATCAAAACTTAAGATCAAACTAAGGAGTAGGAAAAAGTTATGTATTGATTTGTGCACAAATTTGTGTCGAAATCATATGTTAAATCCCATTTAAACTTCAACCCTTGTGGGACAGGTTAAAATTAATATTTTTCATAAATTATTATTTTAAGAATAATTTGTATTGTATTTAAAAACTTTTTAGGGGGCTTCGAGGTTAAAATTCGAAAATCTACATTTTAAGGACCACCCTTACATACAAGGTGATGGATTAAATTGACACCAAATCAATAAAAAACAGGTTATCCAACCTTATAAAACTCGAAGTTGTAACTAGACAATCTTTGAAGACTATAAGGTTAAATAAAAATAGGGTCCAATCACAAATAAAAAAGTTGGTAGTAAAGTGCATTCAAATAAAATTGTTATTGTAAACTAATAATACATTTTAAAAAACATTGACAATCAGGTTTTAAAACAAATTTACTACAAAGAGCATTGGTAGTAAAATATAATGGCTTTATTAAAAATATTCTAAAACTATTTCAAATTATAATATTTATAATGTAGTATAGAGTATAATAATAAAAAAAAAATAATTTAAATGATTAAATAATTGTTTATCATACAAAAACTCAACATTATATATTATTAATTTTTAATCATAATATTTTAGAAGAAAAATGGTAAAATGCATTGAAAAAAGTATGTATTTTTCGAAATAATTATTACTAATTCTTAATGGTATAAAATAACATTCCATAATTTTTATCAATTAATCCACTATAATAAATAAGTATAAACTAAATATATTATAAAAATAAATAATTTAACGATATTATGTAATAATAGTTTTTTAAAATTTGTGATAAAGGTTATACAAGGAAAAAAATGATTTAAATGACATTGTTTAAGAGGTATTAATAGCAAAAAAAAAACAATCACAAGGTATGTTTAAAACATAGAAAAATTAAAAAGACGGTGGTGAAGATTTTAGAACTGCATCTAAGAGCAATTGTAAACCAGCACGTTCTTCCCGTAGCTCACTCAATTGATTTTGTAGATCTTGACAGACTAGACGTAAATGAGCATTTCTTTCTTCTAACCTAAACAAAATTTACAAAGCATAATAATTATGCATTTATATTTACATTCAAATAATTAAATGAGCGTTTTGGACAATTACTTGCAAAATACAGCATTGTCTGTTGGCCGAGAACTGAGAACTTCTGATTCAGCAGTAGAAGAGTTTTCATTGCTTTGCGATTCAGAAACTAAAAAAAAAATATAGATCACCAAGTTTGATAATTACTTATTCAATATAAAAATGTAACAAATTATTTCTGTATATTTACACACAGTAAAAATGATAAGTAAACGTATCGCACAAGAGTATAACTGTATAGGGTCAGAGTAATAATAAATAGATTAAATAAAATACCAATTAGCACTTTAGGTAATTAGCTCAACAAAAGCAATATTATATTAGTGTGATGATGAAATAAAACAATTTAGTTTATAACACCGTTTGTAATACATGTTTGATGTTGAGATCATAATATTTAAACAGAAAGTATTAGAATATAAATATAAGAAAATGTATTTCTTTGATTTGAATTTTGCCTCGCTCCACAGGTAAAGTGGTGACCGTCTTACACGGTAGTAGAAAGTTTGAGATTAATAAAACACGTGAACTAAATGTTAACAAAATGAATTAAACGTAACAGTGAGCATAACACATGTTATATTGATATCTAATAATCAAGAACATAATAAAATAAAATTTCTGAATTTATTTTTATTCTATAGCCATTACTTGGTTGGAGAATGGAAGAATATAAAAAATATTGTTATTTTTCAGTCAGTTATATATATATATATATATATAAAAGTACTTAAAAAACAATAAAATTTAATTGTTTTTAAATCTTTTTTTTTTCTAAAACTTTTTGCAATTCTAAATAATATTTATAATTTATACACACGATAATAATGATAAACAAAAACTTACGTGGCTTCTTGTAGACTTGAAAAGCACCAGGACACTGAGCGAAATCAGCAAACTGACCTGAATCAGTCCTTTCATTGTTTTGTCTCAATCCATTAATTTCACCATTTTTATCCTAAAACCCCAATTTCCAATAACTAAAATATATTTTAATGCTTACAAAGTTAGTTCTTACCGGACTAGGAGTTATTCTTGGCGGGACAACAGGCGGTCCGTGAGCAGAATTGACAACTACACTTTTTCCTAAAATATTTTATTTTTATAATTTTAAAATATTATTACAATAACAATAACATTTTAATACCAAGCTTATTGAGATCAAGAGAGGAACTTCGCATGTGTGAACGATATGGTCGTGGTGGTGGCGGTGGAGGAGGTTCTTTTTTTAATGTCATTACTGGTAAACTAGCTGGTCCAGAATTCCTTTAAAGAATTACTAATTAATAAATTACATAAAATTAATATGTAAACATTTGTAAGAAATTTCCATACAAATCATCTCCATAAAATGTAGGTAAAGGAGGAGGTGGTATAGCTCCTGGTCCAATATCTAAAAAAAATTAGTATGAGATATTTTCATGTTGTGAATCAAATTTTAGTATGATATTTTGTACCATAGTTATTATTTTTGATACATACGACTCGGTTTTTTTACTTGTGGTCTTTGAATTGCTTTTATTAATATAAAGTCTTCAGCATTATTTGACTGCACTTCTATTTCTTGGTCCTCTAAACATGTATCAATACCTGGTGTAACACGAACAGCAACTGGATGAAGTATTTTTGGATCCTAGAAAAATCATAAGCATAGGAATAAATTTAAAAAATGACCAACAAAAGTTTTAAAAACTAGCAAAGTGGGGACCAGAATACCCAGTTCCCTGGAAATTATTATAACTGAAACTGATTGAATCTTCTAATATGTTGTGAAACATATTTTATTAGTACATTTTGTATTTAATTAAGGGGAACATTAATATATTTCGTAAATGTTATGCTACTCACTTGTTCAACAGAAGATTTTTGAAAATCAAAATTTACCGGTTTTGGTCCAGGTGATGATAAAGAACTTGTTGGAGAATCAACGAACTTTGTCCACTAAAAAAAATAATAATATATATATACACATACAGTATGTTCCATAAGTTACATATATTTCTTATTTATGTTTATGTATGCAAGAAATATATATATATTTATTAATATATAAATATAATACAATGTCTACAAAAAATATGTCGCCACCTTTTAGTAAAATTGATCTTTTCATGAACTGGATGACCAGATATTATAAATTTAATTTCCTTTGTGTAATTTTAAAGAATTACATAATGTGAAAATCTAGTTGTTTTTTACACTTGGTGAATTTAATTTAATTTTCTAGACGGGTTTCCATAAAATGGATAATCACCTCATCACAATAAGTAAGTTATTTTATAACATAACATTTCATCTATTAAATGAAACATAATTTAATATTATTTTTAAAACAGGTATTTAATCAATTTATATTTCATTATATTATGTTAACAATGTTCAGTGGTTAAATTGCATAATCAGGACAACCAGTTCTTCAAAAGATTGATCTCATTAAATAAATTCAAATATATTTTAATATAAATTAATTTAACTATAAATAAATATTTATAAAAATAAGAAGGTCACACAGAATTTACTTCTTTGCTTTTGATACTGCTAGTTGGCGATACAATATTAGTATTAGATATGTCAATTTTTTGTGGAGACAAGTTTGGTGGCACTAATGATGGCGGTAGTTTTTTAGGAAGTGTAATGTTATTACGTCTTAGAACAACTAAATGCATGGCTAATTTAAATTCAGCTAATGAAAGCGCTCCATCTTTAGTTACATCCGATAGTTGCCTAAATAAAATAAATCATATTATTAATATAATTTGAATTTTTCTTTTATTGGATGTTACCAACCAAATTTCTTTAAGTTCGTGTAATGGTAATCGAGATTTTTCGAAAAAACTTCTGGCCACTGAGCCAGCTAAAAGTGCTTTTGGGTTAGGTTGTAATGATGCAAACTGTTCTTCATAATATTTACTCTGTTCTTCATTCATACTCCATATTCCAACACTATTAGCTGTAGAGACAGTGTCACAATCAGATGAATCTGCTTCTTCTTCTGTACCTAATAACTGTCGTTGTTCATCACCCCAAGCTAAAAACAATATTCTAATGCTATAACAGTAAAATAAATAATTTCTTATTTTAAATAATAATATAATAAAGTAAAAGATAAAAATAATCATAAATAAATGTAAATTTTACTATGGTAATGTAACATGAGTTGTATAACTAATAAAAAAAGAGTGGGTAGTGGCGGTGTGAAATTTTCTTTTGCTAGAAGCACAATAATTTGAATGGCAGTTTAGGTGCAGGATCTGATTATTTTTATAGAACTAAATCTAAAATAAGCCTTGAATAAATCGGAAAATTGCATTAAATTAAATTTTTGTATGGTCAAGCCAAACTAATTTACAGGTTTTACTGCGCTTAGATTTAACCAAATGTAAAACATACACAGACATAAGAAAAATTAGAAGAGCAAAACATAAAATTTTTTTTTTCAAAAACTACATGTTTCCATACATTTAATTTAAAAATAAATTTTATTAATATAAGGAATTTTTATTGGTTACAATATTTAAATTTAAAAACAGATCATAGTTTACAAAAATTAGCTGTTATTATTAGTTTCAAAATAGTATTAAAAATGAATTACCAGGGCCATGCCAATGTGTCCAGTTTTTATCTTGAACACTATTAGTAGGCGTTGGCGAATCACTGGCTGTACTCGACGCTTCTGTAGTTGAACTATTATGAGCTCTTTCCACATTTTCATCATGCTCTGTATTTATGATAACTGTTTGGCTGTCTGTCATGATAAATACAAAATACTGTCGTTTCTAAAAAATAATACAATTTTTGTATTTATTACTCGCCTTACCCTTCTTAATCAATACATGTTTTATGCTTACTTTTAGAAAATAACAAAAACATCATACGTGTACGACTAGATACAACAGACACCTGAAATTGATTGCCATGTAAATGATGTTTATGTTAAGTTCAATCGAAAATAAATTATTCGTTTGTCGAATCAAAGATTTATAACATGTACATGGGCTGTACAAGAATACACCGATACACGAGTGACGAGAAGACTAGACAAGTACAATGCACAAGAATCAATTAAACAATTTACTTATTATCATTAGCTATTAATTGATAAAAATAAATAAACAAAATCAATCAATATGAACTGATGTCCGTTCAGTGTCACGGTAACGAAGGCGCCCTGAAAGGTGAAATTATTGCACGGATAGAATATAATTCAACCAGTTTCTAACTTTGATGGCTCAATATTGTTGGCTGCACTGCTGCAACCGTCGTCTCTTTTGATTTACCATCCTTTTTCATCAGCCATTCGGTCGGCGTTTTTGATTATCATTTCTTTATTTTCGCGTGTTTTTGGCGCAATTTATTGTTTTTACTTTTCGGTGTTGGTTTTTTTTACAGGTACAAACTACAAAATATCTGTAAGTTGTAACGCAGTGCTTTGGAGAATTCTTAAAACGTTGTCGTACGACGTTTGTTGACTGAAAAAATAATTTTTAATCTTTTTGTAATTAACCATGGGTGACAAAGAAGGTGGTAAGTAGCATTTACATTTTGATTTGATGTTTTAATAGCAAATTTATCTGCATTTGTTGTATAAAATGTTTTTTGTGACGATTTCAGATACTTTTGACGAGGCAGTCGAAGAACGTGTCATCAACGAAGAATATAAAATATGGAAAAAGAACACTCCGTTCTTGTACGATTTAGTAATGACCCATGCTTTAGAATGGCCATCATTGACTGCCCAATGGCTTCCTGATGTTACTCGGTAATTATTTTCATGCCTACCTACTATAAAATAGTTGTTTACACTTTGTTATCAAAACATTTAACACGTCCAATAATTAAGATACTATACTATATTTTATTTGTAGTATTTTATATTCACTCCTGTATATCTAAATTCTAAAGCAAAACAATGTATATTACTAATTGCATTGTTAAAAAATCTTTATCCTTGATAAAATTAAAATGTTTAAAAATAAACATTGTGAAATACAATTAAAGATCTCATATAGATTGAGCTGTACGAGGAAATGTGATTTAAAGGAAAATATTTAATACAGTAAACAGTAACATTGAAATGTTATCGTATGAATTTTTTTAACTAAGTAGGTATTTTAATATAATTTAGTACATAAAGATAAAAGTTAATTCAAGTCATAGTATCTAACTTTCAACCAAGTTGGCTAATGTACCAACTGTATATTATTATTTAGTATAACTTTAAAAATGTTTTACCTACAGACCTGAAGGTAAAGAGTATTCTATTCACCGTTTAATTTTGGGTACTCATACATCCGACGAGCAAAACCATTTGCTAATTGCCAGTGTACAATTACCCAATGAAGACGCACAGTTTGATTCTTCTCATTATGACGGTGAAAAACAAGGTATAATTAATGTTTTTATTATCAACGCTAATTTTTTTCTAATAATTTTATTTGTGTTATGTAGAATACGGAGGTTTTGGCTCTGTTAGCGGTAAAATCGAAATTGAAATTAAAATCAATCATGAAGGTGAAGTGAATCGTGCTCGTTATATGCCACAAAATCCATGTGTCATTGCTACTAAAACACCGTCGAGTGATGTACTCGTTTTTGACTATACTAAGCATCCATCAAAACCAGACCCAAACGGGGAATGTCAACCAGACTTAAGGTTTTTTATACATATACATAATAACCCGTTTTTATCGATTTTTTTAAAGCTGTCTTTCTTAGAAAGTACTCAAAAAAAATTTGTATTTTGGACCCTCCTTTATTTTTTTACCATGGTGGCAAAAAATGTAACCATGTGACATGTCTTAATTTTTTCACTTACGTTTCGGACTCATTGTGGAGTTAATTTTCAGAGCGATAGTATCTGTTATTCTGTGGTAACTACTAAAATTGAAGACAGATACATCTGAAAATTATCCACATGATGATTAAAAGTTATTGAACTATTTTGAGAGGGTGAAGATAAGCAATTCCCTAAAAACTATCTAATTTTTAGATTTTTTTTATTTAGAGGGTCTATTTTTGCAGTGAAGTATGTATTAATCAAAGTTGATTGCTTAAAAAGTAGTTATTCATAAAAATAATTAAAATATATGCTCCAACTCAATGTTAATTAAGTGGAAACTTACCAAAGTGCTGAATCGCCTCTAAAAAAATTTTTGAGGTACTCCTTGTGACTGCCCTAGGATGGAAAACGCTAAAAAAAATATATAGAAATTGGCTTATAATATATATACACTGTGTGTGTAGAATGTAATAAAATAATTGTGTATTTTTTAGACTCCGGGGACATCAAAAAGAAGGTTATGGCTTATCATGGAATCCTAATTTAAATGGTTATTTATTGAGTGCTTCTGATGACCATACTATTTGTTTGTGGGATATTAATGCCACTCCCAAAGAGCACAGGGTCGTAGAAGCCAAAACAATTTTCACGGGACATACAGCCGTGGTTGAAGTATAGATTTTTTGCTACCTATATTTATTATATTTGTTAAAAATTCTGTTTGTTATTTTACTAGGATGTAGCGTGGCATTTGTTACATGAGTCTCTGTTTGGTTCTGTTGCCGATGATCAAAAACTTATGATTTGGGATACACGAGCTAACAATACAAGTAAACCTTCACACACAGTTGACGCTCATACTGCTGAAGTCAATTGTTTATCGTTTAATCCATATTCTGAATTTATTTTGGCTACTGGAAGTGCTGATAAAGTACATAAAACAATATTTATATTTATTAAAAAATATTAATAATCCTCTAATAGTATATTTTTTATTTATATAGACTGTAGCTTTGTGGGATTTGCGAAATCTAAAACTGAAGCTGCATTCGTTTGAATCGCATAAGGATGAAATATTTCAAGTACAATGGTCTCCACATAATGAAACTATATTGGCATCGAGCGGCACAGATAGGCGTTTGCATGTGTGGGACTTAAGTAAAATTGGAGAAGAACAGTCGCCTGAAGACGCTGATGATGGTCCACCGGAGTTGTTGGTAATTAATAAATATGTATATTTATAAAAACTATTAACATAATTTTGGGTTGAATAGAGGGATTAACACACAAAGTAATTACATTTGTGGGGATGCAGGCCAAATATTGCCCGGCCGGTGTCCAGTGGACGGCGGTCTGTGATTGTGAGGTTGTATTTGTATGTACCAGCCGCGCACTTTGTTTGATTACATGGTAGTGTTTTGACCGCGTGTTGAGGTGATTGCGCTATCTAGTTGTGCATCCGCCACACAATAGTAGATAATACTCTTACATACCGTATAATAAACAGTATGACATTAACACAAGTATATCATTAAAACTGATCAGATAAAGTAAGCCCTGAACCCTTAGTTAAATTGCTATTTATATTAATCTTGCAAAATTACACGCGCGTAAATCTACATGTGTTTACAAAAACAACATTGTTATTGTTAAAACTTTTCCTTGATATTGCAACATACGTATTAATATTATAATTAAAAACAATATATTATAATTGTGACTTATATCTTGTTGTATAAAATATTAATAAATAAATTGTAAACGCAAAATTTCATAATAATATAAAAAATAAAATATTAATTACTAATTATTATTCCAACAATAATTTTAATGCAAAATAGACTAAATAACTATTTGAGATTTATTGTAATGTATTTTCAGGACTAATCAAAAAATTGATTGTTGTGCAAACATTAAACTTATTTATTATTATAATATTGAAAAATATCAATTAAATTGTCATTTTATCTATAAGTAGAACTTTTACCATATCATTCTACTTAGTTTTTAATAATATATTTGAATATGATTATTACAATATGTTGTTGTCATGTATTAATAAAAATTGTTTGCTAATAGTTCATTCACGGTGGACATACAGCTAAAATATCAGATTTTTCATGGAATCCAAATGAACCCTGGGTTATATGTTCTGTGTCCGAGGATAACATAATGCAGGTAATTATTTAACATTCATTTATATTGTAGAAATTCTAATTATACAATTTCTAGTAAAAATAATAAATTTTTATATTATAATTAATAATATCTAATCAAAAATTAAAATTTGACAATCAAATGGCATCTTAAAAATATTCCTAATCAATCTATTGCACAATTCTTTCTATGATCAATTTCAAATCTGTTTAATATTTTACATGTATATGAAGAGTGAAAGTGTCAAACGTTCCAAGTGCCAAAGTATAAAAATTGAACTTTATTACTTGATTTGTATTTTATTCATTACCGGAAACACTTAAACATATTTTTGAGTTTTAAATATAATTGTTTTTTTTATAAATAACTATTCTTTACTTGAAAAATTTACAAAATTGTTTCCGGTAATGAATAAAATACAAATCAAATTATAAAGTACAATTTTTATACTTTGGCACTTGGAACGTTTGACACTTTCACTCTTCATATATTTTAATTAGTGTAAAAAAAGTCTTAGATGGCAAAAGAATGCAGTTAAATTTTAGTTTTTGAAATTTATTTGATTTTAAAAAATATTTTTGTTGCACTACGGTATTAATTTCCATAATACTTTTATTTTTAGGTTTGGCAAATGGCTGAAAATATTTATAACGATGAAGAACCAGATAATGCCAGTCCTGAAGTAGACACTCCCGTTCCTTAAAAAAAAAAGCTCTGCTTTTTTTATATTATATAATTTTTTTTTATTTTTCAACGTTATTTTAAGTTTTTATTGTAGGGTTTTAAATTTTTTTTAATCTAAAGTTAAGTGTAAATATATTATGCTTTACGCATATATTTGCTGCAACCCATTCCTCCGCCATTTAATTCGATGAAATTATTTTTGTGTAATCAAATTTAAGTAAATTATCTGTTTGCACTTGTAACTGTCTAATAGGAATGTAGATAAATAAATATCTTCTATTTTATTTTACCGCCACTGGTGTTTAGTTGATAATAAGATTAGCTATCTTGATGTAATTATATAATTATTATCTTCGTATTTATTATTACTTATTAAATATTTCTTTTGGAATAATAAACAGAATACTCTGAAAACGTAATGTTTTTTTTGGAAACAAGTTTAAAATTACATGGTTACAACTTATGTTACTTTATAAAATCAAGAGAAAAAAATAATTTTTTTATGAATGAAAGGTAAAAAATTGTTTAATGAAGAATGTTGCATATGATGAAAAAATAATTTATTCAAATAAATTGGGCTAAACCTTAATGTTAAAATACAAAGGAACAAAATAAAAATGAATTATAACAATATAAAGTTAAGAATGATGCAATAAGTCTAAACCAAAATTATATTGAAACCATTTGTAGTTTACAAAATAGATCTTACAATATCTCCAAGTTGTCTACTTAATAGTACAGCAGAGGCAATAAACATTGATCAGGGTGGGAAACATATTTAAGGAAAAAGAATATGTTATATGTTTAAGGTCGCTTTATTTTAATTTTTGGTTAAGTTTCGTTCCTTAAGTTTGTAAAATATAATAATTAGCAACATTTCAAAACTTTTAAGCGTTTCTTCTCAAAAAATCCAAATTCTGAAAATAAATTCAAACTAATATAACGGCCAATTGTGTTCCCAAAACGTTCAAAATTTGGAATAACCAGTAATTCAAAATTTTATTTTTGAGACGAGGTCCCTTTTTGCCTCACATACATATGTAAATATATATATACTATATGTACATATATACATTTTTGCCGACTTCGTTTTTGAAATTTTCTAATGTTAAAGTAGTCGTGCGGAAATACTAATTTGGAGAATGTAGCAAAGAATACTACAATCAGAATGGACGGTGGACACTGATAACAAATTACACGGGCAGCAATCAGCAATGTCGCCCGCGAAATCAGTCGGCCATATTTTCGGAGGACAAATAAGTTAATTTTTATATAATATAATATATAAACAATTATAGTATTTGTCCTCTGAAAACATGGCGGGTTGATTCCGTGATATCACAGAACTGTCCGGGCCTGCTCATTTCCTTACAAATATAATGCAGGCGTCGCCACAGGCCACGGCATCCATAAACCATAACATTATTCCTTATACGACTATTAAAAAAGACGGAAGCATGCATGCAGTTCGCCGACATGACTGCGCTGTCGGCGGGACTCGATGACGTTATAGGTCATGTGCCCATGCGCATTCGACTTCTCAGTTTGATAATATATCTATATTTACCATAGACCTATAGGTCTATGCTATTTACCTACTAAGGTGGATTTATAGAAATCCACCATGATACCTATACATTTATATAACTTATAAGTGTATATAATATTATATATCCAAATACAACGATAGTCGTGCTCGCATCCCACCCGGATGCTTCGTCTAATAATAAAGGACTATGGTATAAAGTATGAACTATAAACATTAAACACAGCTTAGGAAAGAAAGGACGGAGTATAACAGCCGTTTGTAGATGCGGGAGTGATACAAACGCGAGGGGTAAGGTACAGCGAGCTGCCCACTTTTGATTGGCTACTTACGCTTGCGCATGCGCTACGGTCATCGTCAGCATTGGCAGGTCCAAAGTGCGCAGCTGCTAACCCCCAAACTGACTTCCCCCCCGCAATATAACGCACCGTCCCTTCATTCTTGTGTCTATGTGTATAAATTGTCTATATCGATTATTATTACGCCTTTTTATGGATAATACAAATATTGTTGTGTTTGAACAAACGTCACTCGTCAGTTGTCATTACTCGTTTGTATTCAGTAGACAGTATTAGTTAAATGGTTTTTATACTGTCCGTATGACACTTAACAAAAAACTTTCATTTTTAATTCATATTCGTTAAGTGTACCAGATTTCGATTTAGAAATTAATACAATCGTACAATCTGTTCAAACAGTGTCCACAACGCAATCCGTACCTAATATTTGTGATACTCTCTTCTAAAGCTTGAGTAAGTGAATTATTTTGTTAAAATACACCTATAAGTATATTGAAATCTTTTTCAGTAAGCGACACCATTGAATAACCTATTTAATAACTGTTTTTCCAGCATTACTTAAAATTGTTTTCAAAATGGCATTGAATAAAAGAACAGTGCTGTTGTCGGCCGCAATTCTAACTTTTGGCCTAGGAACATTATACTTAGGGTAAGCATAAAATGATTTGTTATTCCCCTTTACACAGTAGATTATTGAATTCAACTGTATTAATAGATTAACAATGACGAAGCCAGCTACAGATCCCAACAGCTGGGATATTTTAATATTTACGCAAACTTGGCCGTCCACTCTTTGCTATACATGGAAGAAAATAAATAAAACACATGAGTGTCGCTTTCCTCCAGATAAAAAACGTTGGACTATACACGGAATTTGGTTTGTAACTTTTATCTGTTGTAATTTATTTTTACTCATTTTGGGTATTTCCAATGCTTAGGCCAACAAAATTGGGAACAATAGGACCTAGTTTTTGCAACAAGACCCTGGCGTTTGACCCAAATGCCATTTACGGTATTCAGAATGAACTAAATGAATATTGGACAGATATTGAGTTACCTCAAAAAAATACTACAAATGCTAATACCGCAGTTTCCAATAAAAAAAGTATTTGGTTCCATGAATGGGAAAAACATGGTACGTGTGCCACAAGTTTACCGGCATTGGATTCAGAGTTTAAATATTTCTATCAGGGTATTGAATGGGCTAAAGAAAAGTATTCCATGAAGGATATTCTTGAAAAAGCAAACATTAAAGTCAATAGTACTTTAAATGTTAACGAATATTGGAAAGCAATTAGATCTGTACTAAAAGTCAATGTATACGTCAATTGTGTTTTCAAAAATGTAAGTTGAAAAAATTTTTTAACCAAAACAATTTACCAAAACTAAACAAATAGTATATATAAGTAACAGTGTGTATATATATATATTATATAAAACTCCAGAAATATTGTCAGCTTATCTAAAATCTGTTGAAACAATATTGGTTATTTATTATACATTAACTATTTCTTAAAAATTAAAGTTAGAAAGTTAATTAAATTGAGCGATAATATATTTAAGTTAAAATCCAAAATGTAGAAATTGTGTGTAATAATTTTGAAAGTAGTTTGAATTTCCCAATCTGTGTAAGTTATTATTCTAAATAATTTTTGTATAGAAATTGAATGGTAAATAAAATAATCCTTAATTTAATCATTATTTAACAGTTTTGAGTTATTAAAATTAATGTTTTACCTAACTACACATAGTCAATAAAGAAATTATCTTTTATCCATAAAGTTAAATTAAAATAATTTAACAAATTAAAAATTATCTGTTATTCAAAAATTAACCTTGCTCTGTTCCCAATTATGATGTCATTTGTCTATACAATTTTAGGATACAAAAGAGCAATTGTTAGAAGAAATAAGAATATGTTTCAACAAAAATTTAGAACTTACCGATTGTGATGGTATTAAAAGAACTCGAAGCGGTGTTAAAACATCTTCTCCATTGACAAATTGCGACTCAAAAAAACCAATTTTGTATCTTGATCACGTGGCAACCAATAATGTGTCTGTTAGTTCTAACACAACTGCTTCTAATTTGACTAATAATGCGTAAGTATATCATTGTATTAAGTTGATTTCCGTACAAATCCATCAAAAAGTTGTTTGTAAGTCATATTTGTTTTTTTGATAAGTAATGGTTTTGGTCAGAAAGCTTTCTAATAAATTTGATATGTATTGTACAATATATATGTAAATTGACATATTATATTTTTTCTTATAATTACAATAGAGATGTATAATTTCAAAAGTGAAGAATTAATTATAAAATAAGATCTACAAAAACCGAATTACACAAAGTTCAAATTGGCTAAAATACCAGAATGATAAAGGCGGCAATACATGCATTTTTTTTTTTTAAACAAACAAAAATTAAAGAAATATCAGTTCTTAGCTGAAATTTAATTTTTTGCAACACAGTTTGCACAATTGTTTTATTACTGAATAATGTGTTGATAAAAAATATAAATTACATTTTAGAAAAGTTGCATCTCTATGGATACACATTGTAATGTAGTAAAAATAGTTGGTTAATTTAAAAGCTTTAATTTTTTTTTTTATAGAAAAGAATGGGATTATTTGGTATTTTCACAAGCTTGGCCTTATACTTTTTGCCATAAATTGAAAATGAACTCTGGGAGTCAATCATGCAATTTGCTTGAAAATGGTAACCAATGGACAATTCGTGGAATATGGTAAAAATTTGCTAATAAATATTTTAGAATTTATATTGTGTTATATAGTTATATATTTATTATTAATAATATGGAAAATGTGTGAAAATTAGTGAAGGGTTTGTTTCTAAAATTTTTGTTTTAAAAGTTACTTCTCTAATCCATTTTTTCTTCTTCTCCTCTCTTCCTCTCTTTTTTAAAATAATAATTGATAGTTTACCTTTTCACTTTGGTAATTTTAATGAACCCAAACTATTAGTCGCACCACACAACAAGATTTCACTCTTTTTTTTCTTAATAACATAAACTAAAAAAATACATTATAATTGTCTTTTATGGATAAAAAAATTAGTTTGATAATTTACAGATGTATTGAAGTCTTTGTTTATTTGTTTGTTCCTCTGACGCGACTTCATAAACTATACAATTTGTGACAGTGAAATGGTGACTATCGCACTGAAGATAGACTCTGTAATGGGTCTGAAATGTCAGAAAATAAACAAAGACTAATCTGAAAATTATCAAAATAAAATATAGATTTTTTAAGATTTATTCAATTTTGTACATCGTATCAAGTATTTTTTTTTTAAGAACTTGGAAATTAATAATAAAAAACTGTATTTTGAAAGTATTCATTTTTTTAAATTTATTATTTAGGCCAACAAAAGATGGAACATCCGGCCCGTTATACTGTAATAATCAAACAATGTTCCACTTGGAGACATTAGATAGCATCAAGTCAAATCTGAAAAACCAGTGGACTGAAAAAGATGAATATTGGGGCGACGAATGGAAAAAGCACGGTACTTGTGCCATGGAAATTCAAGCTTTAGATTCGGAATTCAAATATTTCAAACAAGGTCTAGACTGGAACAAGCAATACCCATTGAACGATATACTGTCGCAAGGAAGTATCAAACCAAATGGCACTTATCCTATGATGCAGATTTTGCTAACATTAAAAACTGGATTGGGCAAAAAACCCTTAATGTATTGTTTCACAGATAAGGTATGTATAATTTATTTAACAATTATATTTGTATAGTTAAAATCAATTTTTTTTGTTTGTTTTAGAAAACTAATGTCACTTATATTGATGAGCTACGCTTGTGTTTTGACAAATCATTGACGTTAGTTGATTGCGACCAGTTAAAGAGTAATTCTGATAAATCGCACACTAATTGTCTAAACGAACAACGGATCTATTTCCCAGGAGCTCAAGTATAATTTAAAGTGACGATGAGACAGAAGGAATTTATACTCATGCTTTAGTTTTAAAACTTATTTTTCTCTTTACTTTATATAATACCTAGTTTCTGTAACAGAAATTAAATTTTAGCTAATAATCTAAAATTCTTAAAAATCTCCACATTCATAAAATTAATTTTAATCAACATTTTATATAATTTGAGTAGTATTTTTATTTATCTTTGATGCAAATTAAAGTGTATCTAATTTAAAATATTATGAAAGTGATTTTTGTTTTATACTAATTTTATTCTGTTCACCCTAATTAATATATATATATATATCATATTTTATATAATTCCTGTAAATAGAAAACTCTTGTGCTCCTAATTAATTTTTTCTTTACCACAAATTTCAGAACTGCACACTTAGATCTGCTGTACATTTTTTTTGGACCTATTTTAGTTATAGAAAGAATAGCATAAGGTTTTGAGTGACATCCTAAGAATGTTTGATCCTGTATCAGAAGACTATAATTGTATTTTATTCATTATTTTTAAGTAAACTATAAAATAAATATTTGAAATTGTTCCTAATACCAAAAAAAAAATTGTGTTTGTAATATATATATATATAACTATTGTGGTTAAATATGTAACATAGGTCCCATTTAACAAATGCCAATTTAATTACAAATTTTGGCAACAAAGTTCTTTGTAATTCTCATTTACGATTGTTTATTAATAAATAAATTAAGTTCTATAAGACTAGATCTCGTAGAAATATTAAAATATTCATTGTTATTACAAAAAAAAAAATATATGTATATATATAAGTATTCAAATTATGCATGTACTTATGAACTACAAATTTGTTACAATTTTATTTTATTTATAGCAGTTTTCGTTTTTTTTAAACTAATATTACTTCAGTTATTTCATAATTTGTATGGCTTGGAGAAATCCATATGAGTATTTGAGTGCTTGATTACTATTATGACATTATTAATTTTAGTGCAGAGAGATGTTGTTAAATTTTGATAAGTAAGTATTGATTTTACAATGATGTGTGTTTTTGAATGAATTTGGTAGTAATGTATGAGTAAAACATTTGCATAGATAAAAATATTTTTAAAAGTTTACTTGGCGTAAATTTTAATTTATGGTGGACAATGCTCTTTTTTGTACTGTGCTCGAATAGCCTAAATTTTGGCTTTACTTCTGTTTCTATTTAAATTAATGATAGATTTGGAAAAATGTCTTTAGCCTACTGCTCAAATTCCCAAAAACTCGCATTGACAGACCACCGACTGTGACTGTGTAAAAAGAAATTGGTTTTTATACATATTTTAGTTATGGATTAAATTAATTATTGTAAAAATAAATAATTAGTAAATCGTATAGATAAAATATTAAATAATTAATAATTTTGAAATAAAAATTCAATTATAGAAATATGTAATATGTTTATAACAATTACAAGCTAAGTTGATAACACAGAATCGCATATTTATATATATATATATATATATATTTTAGATTATTTTATACCATAGACCTATAAAGATTCTTTATAGGTCTATGTTTTATACACAAATACATAAATCCCACAAAAATGGCTGAGCTGACTTCCATTCTTATCACTAGTTAATAATCAGTTTATTATATATATCTCTGACCTGTGTCCCTGTGTTAATTTATATCAGCAATCAGTGTCAATTTTACTTTTGAGCTAACTGCTGACCTATTACAAAAATGTAATAGAACGGTTATGCAGTATGCTTGCAGTTACAAGGCAGTATTGCAAATTCGCTCATTCTGTTTCCATGTGATATAATGCGCTCGATGTAATTTTAAGTAAGCAAGTACAGTTTTTAGGTAATATTACTATATTTTAAATTTGAATTCAAAACGTACCATTTTTCTGTATTAATCATACATTATTATTAGCATAAAATTTCCAAAATGACTATGAACAAAAAGACAACACTGCTGTCAGCAGCGATTGTGACATTTGCCCTGGGGACTTTATTTTTAGGGTAGGAATACATTATTTTTTTAATCATTTTTCTCTCATTACTGTAGGTAGGTTTATAATTTTGATTTTAAATGTACCTATAGATTGACTATAAAGCGGCCTGCTTCAGATCCTTACCACTGGGATATATTAATATTCACACAGACTTGGCCGATGACATTATGCTATACGTGGAAAGAACATAACCCATCACACGAATGCCACTTTCCTCCAGATAAAACTCGTTGGACTATTCATGGAATTTGGTTTGTATTTCTTCTGTTAAAAATAATTTATTTTTACTCAATTCCGGATTTTCAATAATTCTATTGCTATCCAACTTAACTATAATTTAAAATGTTTAATACATATTTAAAATTATTTTATATAATATGTTTTCCAACAGTTTATATTATAATGAAATAACATAGGTTAAGTTGTTGTAGCCTAGACCTTGATCCATGGTGTACTCTTATACTACATTCTATTTTTGAAACTTATGTAATTTAAATTTCATAATAGGGTTGGGTCAATGTAACTTTTATCTGATAAACTTATTGAAAATGCCAATACCCAACCCAAGATCAGATTTATTCAATTTAAGGAAAAAAACTGTTAAAGAATAAATCAATATAAAAAAAAAAATCCAATACGAAAAACTGAAAAACATTGTATTTGATATTTGAACTTTTATAATTTGTAAAATTTTCCATTATAAAAAAAAAAATAATGATTAAACAAATCTATATAGAGACCTGTTACTGCTATGAAAAGTAACTATCTTAATTTGCCTTTACGAAAACTAGTAAATTTAATCATTTATATTAAATACTATTATGATTTTCATTTGTGCCTTTTAAAACAAAAACTATTATATTTCACTCGTCATAAAAATTATGTTAGGCTCCACATGTACCTAAAATTATAGCAAAAAAAAACAATATACACTACTTTTCGTGGGGAAAAAAAATTGCAAATATAACAAATTTGTTTTTTTAGCGGCCAACAATATTATCTTCTGTTTTATCAGTGATGTAATTTATGAATTTATCAAGCAGGGACTAGTTAATATTAATATTGCACAAACTCATAGCAAAATTTGATCCAATACACTAATTGATGTTTGACTATCTCATAAGATCCAGTGCGACATTGTATTTAAAATTACAGTACATTTTGAGTAACATGATGGTTCATATTTTAATATGAAATATTAAGTCATCTATAAAACAAATTATTGTTATTTATTAAATTACATAATCCTATAATTTTATTTGGTAAAAAGGTTAATTTAGCACGACCTTATTTTCATTTCATAGATCCTTGTTAAACTCAAGTAGACTTTTTGACCTTGACCCATATTCTTGAATATTTCTTAGTATATTTTTCTGATTCTAAACAAAGTTATTTATTATGATTCTTGATTGTTTAGGCCAACGAAATTGGGAACATTAGGTCCACATTTTTGCAACAAGACTGAAGAATTTGACCCAAAAATCATTCATAGTATTCAGAATGAACTTGATGAATATTGGACCGATATTGAGTTACCTCAAAACAATACCGCTAATTTTACGGTTTCCAATAAAAAAAGTATTTGGTTCCATGAATGGGAAAAGCATGGTACATGTGCTATGAGTTTGCCAGCATTGGATTCAGAGTTTAAGTACTTTTCTCAGGGCATTGAATGGGCTAAAGGCAATTATTCTATGAAGGATATTCTTGAGAAAGCTGACATTAAAATTAACAGTACACTAACTGTTGATGATTATTGGAAAAAAATTAAATCTGTACTAAAAGTCAATGTGTTTATCAGCTGTTTTTATAGAAGTGTAAGTATAAAATATAATCAGACAGTTAAACAGTGGTTACTGTACTAATGACATATGTAATTGTAAACAAAGGTTGAAACAGAATAAGATTCTTCCAAAGCAGAACTATTATATTATTATTGTGTTCAGACAAATTTTTCAGGAATGGAACTTTAAAGATACTACATTCTGATAAATTGTTGAGATATGCAATTTTATGATTTCTTTCCTTCGGGAATGATAAAAAAATAAGTTTTGTTTCGGAAGAATTTGACAAAATGCATTAATGTATTAGTTTTGCTTCGAAACAACTCATTTTTATGTTCTTTAACAATTGATTTGTTCATGTTGAATCCCACTTAGTAATTAATTATATTTAAAGTTGTTTATTATCTAAAAAATATTTAGTTTTCATATTTGATTTTGTGTAATTTTCAGGACACAAAAGAGCAATTGTTAGATGAAATCAGAATATGTTTTAACAAAAATTTAGAACTTATCGATTGTGATGGTATTGAAAAAACACGAAGAAGTGTTTTGTCAACTTTGCCGTTAACAGATTGTGATTCGAAAAAACCCATTTTGTATCTTGATCACATGACACCTCATGACGTTTCTGCTATTTCTAATGAAAATGCTTCTTATTTGACTAATAATGAGTAAGTATGGATATTTTTTTTAAGTATATAAATTATAAAACCAGTTTATATATTTTATTTTTCATTTATTAATGCCACCACTATCATTAACCATGTCACCATCATCACCTAATATCATATCATTTCATTTAAATCTTAATGTTTTATCGCCATTAAGAGCCATTAAAATAAATTAAATACTAGAAGTTCCAAAAGTATATATTTTCAGGCACTCAAAGGTATTGCCTACTGTGAGGTCAAAACGAAGCCCGGTTAACCAAAACAACGAGTGGATAACTAAGACTTCTCGTCACTCTAACCGATCCAATGACAATCAGTCAAATCCTAATATTACAGTTAACGGTGATTTGAGTCAATCAAAATCTCCTCAGTCACGTCCCAACAACAAACCCAACTATGACTTTAACAGGTCCAACTCGTATCAGCCTCATACCAATACTCAGTATAATCGTAATCTAAATAGATCAAACTCGTATCCATACATTTTACGGTACTAATTTTTTTTTACAAGTACTATTTAAAATGTTGTTAATAATCAAACATCAGTGTTGTATTTGTTTAAATAATGTTTTTATAATGTCATAATTGATTTGTTTTTCTATAAAAAATAAAATGTTATGGTTTATAGAAAAGAATGGGATTATTTAATATTTTCTCAAGCATGGCCCTATACGTTTTGCCATACATGGACTATTGATTCAAGTAGTCATACATGCAATTTGCCAGCAAATCGTAATCAATGGACAATTCATGGAATCTGGTAAAAATAGTGTATAGTAAATATTTAGGCCTTATATTAAGAGGACGCTATCCACCCAATTTTCTAGCATTAAAATGTACCTTTGCAGAATGTATTTTACTCGCTCTGTGATGATTTTAAAGCAAAAAATACCCATAACGAAAACAAAAAATGACAACAATTTGGACCTAATGTCTTATCCTTTTTTTGATAAACCTAATATTTAACATTTAAAATCACATGTCTTTACTTTTTTTAAATTACTTTACTTTTTTACACTATTATTTTCAAAATCCTACAAGTTATTGTCTCCAAAATATGTTATCTTTCGATTTTATTTTAGGTGTTTTTGCTCTAAAATCACTATGGACTGAGTAAAATGCATTCTTCATAGCTATGTTTATAAGAACATTATTTTTTTAGTAGTCCTAATTACTTAACTATTAATTAAACATCACAGTTTGACCATTACATTATAATGTTGTGGTAAATTAAGAAATGTGTGGTAATGATATATGGTACTTAACGATAAGTACAATTTAATTAACATTTGATAGGCCAACTAAAGTGGGAACGTTTGGTCCATCTTATTGCAACAACCAAACTGCGTTCCATATTGAAAAATTGGGTAGCATCAAATCTGATTTGAAAAATCGCTGGACCGAAGTCAAAGACTCTAAGTCATGGGTGAATAAAAAAGAAGGAGAATTATGGCGCCACGAATGGAAAAAACACGGTACTTGTGCTATGTCGATTCCGGTCTTAGATTCTGAATTCAAATATTTCAAACAAGGACTAGATTGGAACAAGCAATACCCATTGAACGATATACTGTCGCAAGGAAGTATCAAACCAAATGGCACTTATCCTATGATACAATTTTGGCAAACATTAAAAAATGGTTTGGGCAAAAGGCCTTTTATTGATTGTTTCACAGATAAGGTCTGTATTGTTTAAAAAAACAATTGTTGTTTTATTTTATAGTTTATTGTTTTAGCTTTGATGGACAACTGAGAAGTAATTAATTCATTTTTCCCCCTTATTTTAGACTACAAAGATTACTTATATTGATGAGGTGCGCTTGTGTTTTGACAAATCGTTGTCATTAATTGATTGCGATCGGTTTAAGAAACAAAATGACAAACCCAACACAAATTGTCCTAAAGATCAACAAATTTATTACCCAGGAATTCAAGCTTAATAATTTAAGACTATAATTAAATACAAATATGTCTTAATAAATAAATAAATATGTCTTAATTGTTTGGTAATTTTTAGTTGAATAGCTATATTTCTAACTAAATGTACTTTACTATTAGTATTGACATAGTAATTCATTTTTTATAACCAATTAATTTTTAAAAGTATTTTCACTGTAAAATACAAATTTCAAACTTTATGACTAAAATAAAAATGTGTTGGAAAAATAAAGTTCTACACCTTGCTTTTGTAAGATTTTGAAATCAAAATATCTTGAATTTTTTTCTTATTGCTTTCCAGACAATGTTGGCTTAAGTCAACTAGAATAAGAAAAACTATGTAACTATGATATAAAAGTTATAGAAGAATGATTACTGCTGGAGCTTCCAGCACAACTGAATTGGTGCATCTTTTTCCTAGAAAATAAATTGACATGGTCGAAATTTATTAAAACCACTTTTTTCTTAAATGTTATTTGTATAAAACACTATAAAAACCGCCCACTTTCAATCCCTGTAACCTTAGTATTAGACATTAGTATTTAATGTACCATAACTTTTAGACGTAAGCTAGTTATTAACTTGTTTAAATACATTTTTAATTTCATATTGGAAAACGAATGTTAAAAAGATGCAGAACAAATTGGAAGTGTGAGAGCCACCTGAAATTAATAAAAAATACTGAATAGTGAATAATAAATACTGTGGTGTTATAAAAGCTACTCTATTGTACTCTACAAAAAGCTTGTGGTTTTTTTTATACTAAACATTTTTGTAAGCAGAGGTTTTAATACGAAAAATATTAGAAGGTGCTTAATTAAAAATTGGGTGTGCTAGTACCCCCCAGACCACCACCCCCCCTTAATTGCGTCTGTGGTGATAGAAACAATATTTCATAAGCGCAATATCAGTAAAGTTTTATTTTTTTGACAAAAGAGCACACTGTTTCCATTACCAGACACCAGTTTAAAACTATCATTATTTATTAGCACGTTCGATAATTTGGTCTCTTGGGCCCTGGTAGTTGGCTCCTTTTCACAATCTTAGAAGATCTGGAGTCAATGAAGTATACATATTCACTGTAAAATTTCAGCTCTTAGGTGGCTATGAATACTATATGCCAATAATAATTTGTGAAGCTGCAGAAAAGTTGGTGTGTGATCATTTGATCATGCTGCTTGAAGTATTATCCCAAAGATCATCTATAATAATAGTTATAATAGGTAAAATTATAGTTTAATAAATACTTACAGGTTCTTATAGTTTAATATTTAAATGCATCTTTTTAAAATTTTTAATTTTCCTTACTTCAAGTTTTTCTTGGTTTATTCTCCCTGTCAGTAGGTACTTAAAATTCCAGAAAGAACTTAAATAATCAGAAAGATCAAGAGTAGATTGGATAGTTATTACTTATTCTCAAACCACAGTCCACACACACTACACAGTGTTGTCAGTTAAAAACTCAGACATTTTTTATTTGTAAAGCCACCAACCACTTCTCTCTTAAGATTTTGTCTTGGGTATAGAAAATTAGAAAATACAGATACTATTTAATGCTTATTTACAACCAACAAAAATTGTTTTTGTACATAATAAACAATAACATTGACTACTGAAAGGCGAGAAGTAGTATAATTTCAATATGACATAGTTATTAATTTGTATAAAAACAGTCCCATTTTTTAAAATTTAGCGGTAGTGGTGTTATTATTTAAGTTCCTAACCTATAAAACGATAGCTATAGTAGCGCTCAGCGTTAAAGTGGTGAATGCCATAAAGGTTTTTGCCATGACGTGATGGCGAGGGGGAGTGGAGTTAACCGACCTTATCTTTTAAGGCTGTACTGACTACAGAGTATTTCTTTCATTAGATTGATAACAATGTTTACGCGTTAAAATTTGTTTATTCTCTGTAATTTTTACTTCTGTAATTATTCAAATATCAATATATAAAATCCATAATGCCGACAAAAACTACGTCCGTAAAGAAGAGGGTATGTACAGCTTTGTTAATTTTTAATAATATGCGTTTTTGAAATTAATAATGTGTCGATGCCAGTGGATAAAAATTACAAATTTGTATTTAAGACAGTTTTTTTGTAATATAGGTTTACATAAATATATACTATACTCCACACTCCAGCAACTTATATTGTTGTAGGTTTTAAATTTTCAAAATGGCATTAATTTGTTTAATTCCTTTGTTAAAAATGTATAAATATGGAATATATATATATGGATATTATTCAATTTTAGATAGATATTTATTTATTAGATATTAATAGACCAAGAATGTACAATAGTACTTGCTTAGATGCTTATTATATACAAATGTGGTTAGTTAATTAAACTTAATTATACTTGGAAAAGATTAAAAGATATTACTCATGTACTTAATATAATGTATCAAGTACATAATATATATATATATATATATATATTTTGTGATGTTCTAAACTTTATTAAATCTATCAAAATTGTTTTAACAATAGTCACTTCATTTGAATAGCACAATTAGAAGAGACATGTATAATCATATTGATACTATCAACAATTAATTCAATAGATTAAATTTAGTAAAGCTAATGATTCTATTGATAAAAAAAATTCTGAAAATTATTTTAGGTCTACCTTGCTAAGTTTCTTGACTAAAATATAAGTTTTTTAATATATCTAAAGGATTAAATATTTGTATGAATAGTTGAGTCATAAATAAATGGTTATTAAAAAAAAAAGGTATTAATCTAGTTTACCAGGCACCCTTTTTTTAAAATTTTTTTTTTTAAGTCTTACTCTTGATATATGGGTGGATTTATATAGGTGGATGTCTACCTATGCTGCCGACGGGTCAACTTTCCCCAGCACATCGTGGTCCTTCCCCCCCCCTTCGTAATACCATTTTCTGTTAACGATCGTATAAAATCGAAAAATAAAGTGTAGATGTACAGCGCGATGGGTACCTTCATATGTCAATATCGGCAATGTTCAAAATGTCTATAACTATCAAACTAAGTTTGTCCCGCAAAAATGTTTGCAAATTCGTAATCAGCATTAAAAGTACTATCGATTTAAAAATTTTTTTTTTAAAAGGGTGCTGGTAAAGTAGATTTGTTCCAAAAAAAACATTTGCATTACACAATATTTTTTAATTATAGTTTGTATCAGACGGTTTGTTGCGAGCAGAGCTAAACGAATTTCTCACTCGTGAATTGGCTGAAGATGGATATTCAGGTGTTGATGTGCGTGCTGCACCGTCACGTACAGAAATTGTTATTTCAGCTACCCGCACTCAAAATGTATTGGGAGATAAGGGACGCCGTATCCGTGAACTAACGTCACTCATTCAAAAACGTTTTGACTTCAAAGAAAAGGCAGTAGAGTTATTTGCCGAAAAGGTTGCTCAACGTGGATTGTGTGCTGTTGCTCAAGCTGAATCTTTACGTTACAAGCTCATTGGTGGTTTAGCAGTAAGGAGAGCATGTTATGGAGTATTAAGGTTTATTATGGAAAGTGGAGCCAAAGGATGTGAAGTGGTCGTATCGGGGAAATTAAGAGGACAGCGAGCTAAATCAATGAAATTTGTTGATGGTCTTATGATACACAGCGGTGATCCTGTTAACGATTATGTAAACATGGCAACAAGGCATGTTTTACTGAGACAAGGTATGTAAGATGTACTTATTTATTCAAAACCAGAAACGTTCACAGTTTTGCGTATTCCAATTTTTAGGAGTGTTGGGAATCAAGGTTAAAATCATGTTGCCATGGGATCAGTCGGGTAAACTTGGACCAAAGAAACCATTGCCTGATAATGTTACTGTTTCAAATCCCAAAGAAGACGACTTACCAACTGTACCAACAAGTGATTTTAAATCCAAACCGGAAGTTCCAGTTGTACCGGCTGCACCAGTACCTGTTGTATAGATTTTGTAATCTAAAAAATTAAACAATTTTCGAAAAACATTTATTATGTGTTATTTATTGAAAAGTTATACCTATGTAAATTATGATACTGAAAAGATCATTTAAGATGTATCTATGTTTTTTCTTTTTTTTGCAAAGACTATTATTATTGAACAACTAACTGTATTTATTTCTTTATTCGTACAGTCAATCAATAAGAAATATTTTGTCCTCCCTCCCCTTTAATTTTAATTGTATTATTAAAAAAATGTTCAACTAAATGTGTTAAAAAACATAGTAGGTAATTGAAACTTAAAATATAATATTATAAATTACGAACTATATGTTTCTTGGTCTATCAAACTTGGTAGCTAGTTTTAAATTCTTTTCCTATATTATTTATAAAGAAAACGGCTCACAACTGGGTTGACGAGAAATATCTGAATAATTTTGTAGAGTACCGGTGTTTGTGATATTATGATGTCCATTTATTTTCCATCATTAAAGTCAAATTTAACAGACGCTTAATTCGTTATATTCATTCTTTTTAATTTCCTCAGTTTGAAGATATACGTCTTTATCCGATTGGGGAAGAAGAAGGGTAATGTGTTTATTTATAGTCTTTATTCTTTAGGGCTTTAGTACCGATCACTTCTAAATCCTAGTTACGCCGATACCAGCGATTGATTCAGACCTAGTCGCGCCAATATGACTAGAGGTACTTGCTTTGGAACAGAAGGGCCCACTTAACTGCAGTGGTCCATTGTGCTATTGTACACTGCACTTATGACATAATAGCACGGATGATTTTTGACTGACTAAAGAGATAACCAAAATCGTAAACTGATAATCTCGTACAAACGGGTACAGAAAAATTAAACAACTAGGTCTAGAATAATGTCTACAATTATGTTTTTATAGAAGTACAAATTGAAACAAACATAAAAATAAGATAGGTACAAAATAAAAGAAAATTTTTAAATATTTTAAAGTATGAATTTATTGAGGAAGAAAAAGCCAAATATCAACGAGGAGTTCGTGAACTTATTCATAAAATAGTCTGTTAAAAACAAAGTGTTTTAATTTTTTTTTTGGATCGGTGATTTTATAATTTATTATATTAGTACATTACCTACGTGACGTAGGCTACGTCCATGGATCATTAATATTTAAAATTATTTTTATACTTAAATAATTAAAATTTGAACTAATTTTATTTAAATTATTAAATTACAATTTTAAAAGTTAACTTTTTGTCAGTAAGTTTAGAGATTAGTGTTGAAGAGACCATACTGTCTTTTGTAGGAGTTTACGGTCCATCATCGTCCAGTTTGGCAATGCCCTTATACAATTAGTGGAATCAACGGCCCAAAAATTAGGTCGATACCTCGGAGCTCGGAATCCTCGGGTCCTCCCTCATTAGTTCTGTACCTACATAAAAAAATATTATAGTAAAATGATAACCCACTACAAATGGACTTTAATTCAAAGGTGACTTTTTCGGGGAAAACCTGGGGCTCCACTGAATTGTTGGGCAGGCCGGTCGCGACTCACGGGTCATAATGTATTTCACAAGCGTCCATGGTCCGTCGGTGGCGGCGCAGCACGAGTCGCCGACAGTCAACGTTTGGCACCGCTCGGTGTAGCACGTTTGAACGGTTGTCGTGTTTCGTTTTGGGATTTTGGCGTGCACTCGCGCACACGCACATTACTCGACTTTCGAAAAAAAAACCCTATATTTTACCACCGTCGTCACCGGATAATATTATCTATTCGTTAAGGGACGAGCGCCGCTAATGACTTGCTAACGACAAGAGCCGTTTTGGTCGGATAACGCCGTTGTACACGGTACACACCAAAATCAGCTATGAGGGCCGGAAATATGCGAAGGAACGCCAAGCTGCTATTGATTTTGTTCGCTTCGTGGATGTTTGTGGTGGTGTACTTTGTTCAGTCCGGCGCCAGAGACCCCAAGGTACGTGGAGTTCTATAACATTGTACGTTATCCGTAATAATCCTTACACACAATGGGTCCTGCTTTCCGTTCCTGTTAACCACTTGGCACACTCCCAAGAAAATTTAAAACAGCAGTTCGAGTGTCAAAGTTACCTCATAAACCGTGTCGTCAGACTGGTGCTTGAAAAGTCAAAAATAAAAAAAACTAATTTTTGGTCTGCCATAGTAAAATGATGCGACCATTGTCGACACGATAAAATTATATTACAACGCCCAAAGTCAACACGTTAGAAATAAGTACTTGTAATCAAGGGCGCCCGCAGATGAAAATTCAGGGGGGAGCGCCTATGATTATGTAATAGATTTTAAAAAATTGGGATATTGGATATACATTTTTTTTTAACTTTCAGAGAAGCTAGGGGGAGTTGTCCCCCCTGCCCCTCTCTGTGGGCACCCTTGCTAAAAGTGATAACTCCTTGCTTAAAGTAATATAAGCTTAATAATATGCTTTAAGTAATATCATTGAGTATATATCGATAACATCGTTTCTCTATACAATATATACTCAATGGTAATATCCTTTATACAAAACTACGAATTGAGACCAGTCGAGGCTCTGCCGCTCCAGGACCAAATTTATTTAAGAATAAAGGCCCTAAAAAATATTTTATGTTAACAAATTCTAGTTAGTATATTAAAAAGATTAATATATTTTATTCAATTTTATAATATATTCTAATGTCAAATTTATATAAATAAATTCAGTTAACAAAATAACAAATGAATATTTAAAACTTATTTTTTCACGGGGCTGATAAGTTAAAACTATATTTATACTTTTTTTTTTATTAGCTTTTATTAAATATTATGACGGCTCAACAATTGCATATAATAACAGTTACCAAAAATCGGCCTTTTAGCCCCCATAGAGAAGATGTTAAACTATTAAACAAACAAAAATTTATTGAAATCGGCTTAGTCTTAATTTGTAAAAAATTGACGCTTTCCGTTCCCTTAAACAGCTTTGTCTGCTCCAAATTGTTATTTAATTCGTCAATAGTTCCTTATCATGCCGATACTTTATATAAATATATTATAATAATGATTATGAAATTATATTTAATATTTTTTGTTACTTAAAATAATTGAAAAGTAAATAGTAAAATAGTATTGTATCAATACACTCACTCAACTATTTTTCGAGGAATAGGAGCTAAGCACCATAAGGGGCGTCCGCCTATTTTGGCCTCTGAACAATATTAATCAAAAAGTAAAAACCGACGATAATATAAATAACAATATTAAGGAAATAATTTAAAGTTATGACACGTATTTATATTATTCATATTATAGAGATTTTTGTTTTACAGATATGAGGTGTTAAAAAACAATAAGAATTGTACACTTTATACTTAGTTAATATAAATAAAAACATAACCGCAGTCGGATAAAAAAAAATTAATTTCATTTAATCATTTAAAGTTTAAACATTGATGACATTATCTGTAGCACTCGTTCCGTACTCGTTAAATACCGATAATTATGTATATCACAATTATCTAAAACCTAATATAAATACTGCAAATAATAAATTAAATGACTAAATAATCTATTTTGCCATAATAAATACCTACTGTATTTAAAAATATGTTGTTATGTTCTTAATTACTATTTACACCAGAAGCGTGCCCAAGATAAAAATGATGTACGCTTGTATAAATAATAAAATTCAAAGTCTATAACAAAATTAGATTTATTTTAAGGTGTGTTTTTTTTTTAGCTATTAAATATATTTTAAAATAGCTATTAATAAAAAAATGTTCGGCTTTGAGTTCATGTGCGTCATTTATAAACAGTGATTATTACTAAAAAATGTATAAATATAATTTTTATCGAAAGCTTGTGTGTACGGTGTAACCGGCAAAATGTTCCATTGATCAAATCCAACCGCAGTTTTACAATATAATTATCAAATATAAATTACATTGGTGAATTTAGGGGAAAGGCTGAAGGTGCCCTCCTCGAAAATATAGGAAATATAAATTACAGTGTACTGTGCAGGTGTCACCTTTTTAATAATAGTAAATCTAAGGTTAGTCCTCTCCGAAATAAAATCCTGACTACGCCACTAAAAATTAATAATTTCGGACTGGAAGGTTGGAGAGTAGAGATATTTTTGTCCGCGCTTCAGCCGCACTTCCCCTTCTGCCCTAACTTTTAAACTTTAATAACTTTGAAACTAATGTCCCAGAACTGGTTATCGACCAGTCAAAATCTTAAGCAAATTATTCTTAATTTAAAAAGTTAATCAAATATGCATTACCATTTAAAAAACTTAAGTTCATACGGTTTTAACATAAAAGAGATAGGGTTAATTTTTTTTTTATAAAATGTTAAATTTGTCTCAACTAATAACTATAAAAGTATAAAAATTTTTTTTTTTTTTTTAAGTAACATTTAAGTTATTGACTGGGCCATAGTTAACCAATCTCCCGGTACAATGGCCTTTTTTCTTAACATGTTATAAAAAAAAATCAGTTAATTTATTAAAACCGTCAGTTTGAAGCGTGTGTACTCGACGTTAATGTTTATTGTTATTATTTAATTTTGCCCGTATCGTTAAGTGAGATTTATTACCTACTTCATTTTTTTTTAATACATTGTAGAGACTAGAGTGTAGACTGTAGGTGTATGAGTTAACGCACTGCGTTGGTCATAGGCCATAGCTATGAGTTGGTGTCGAATAAACTTGACCGTGTGTCGTTGAGGGCATTTTAATTATTTATTTATTATGAATATATGGGCTGAGCCCTTTTAGTACAATTAACGAGTAAAATAACAGGTATACAATACACACGGTTTAAAATATTTTCCAGAAAAAAAGATATGAAGATAAAACAATTATTACGAAAAAATGAAAAGTATTACAAAACAACGAGCAAATAATTTACAATTTACAAGATTACAAAATGCACAATTAATAATGAATATTACAATGCAATTAGATATGATATTGAAATTGGTTAAATAAAAAAGGCCGGGGTCCGTATTGGCATTAGACATCATACGTCTTATATGTTCATTTAACAGGTAATTGGTGGTATACAGTGGGGTATGAAAAGTCGTAGTGGAACGAGAGGTGCGTCGAGGAACTTTAAAATGTATACAGGACAGTAAGGTTGGAGAGTCTACTCCACCAGCTAACAGTCCTTTCAAGAAATTTGCACCCATAATTCGCATGCGCTCCGCTAATGAGGATAAACCAAGTTGATTGACAAATTATGTCTGTTTTTTTGTTAAACTATCAGTCGTTGTGATACAGTGCATTTCTATTTTTTAGGTTTTTTTAAAGTATTTTATTAAAATTCAATTTAATTACCTAGTTTGCCTAATCGAAAAATAACGTTTACTTTCTACGTTTTCAACGTGGGAAGCCTTACAAATATTTTTTTCAAGTACTTTTTTGTGAATGTTTTTAAAAAAATGTCGAACGTTTTGGATAAGATATTTTAGAATAAGACGAATGAATTTTGCCAATAAGTATTGTAGAATTTTCGGTTTAAAATAATAACTACCAAGTACCATCATTATTTATACGTAATTACTAATTTTATTTAGTAAATAATAATTTTGCTCTCTTATAATTGTTATTCTATTATACAGAATCATTAACCATATTGTCATAGATAATGTAACAACCAGAATATTATTATTATTTATCAAACATTAATTGCTACCACAGATTATTTGAAATTTAATGGCATTTCGTTACATCTTATGTTGCTAAAGTGTTTGTTATGTCATACTAAACCAATACAAATCGGTTGAGCGTTTAAAATTTGTATTTTAAACAGATAATGAATTTTTTGAAAATATTCTATCAATTATCAATGTGTTTTATAACAATATCTCTGGTATTTTATTTAACATTTTCAATACAATTTTTTCGATCACTAACATAAATTAATTAAACGTTTCTTAAATCCTAGTTATAAATAATTACAAAAAGTAGTCGGTAGCCCGCAGGGATAACTCGCAAATTGAATGTTATCCAAATTATAATCATTAAATTCATTTGAATATAGTTAAATATAGAAATATGATCTAATTTTGAGATAAAACATGTTCGCAGTATTTTTATATCAGATTTGGATATTTCAAAATTCTTAGGGTTGAAAATGTTTGTTAATAGGTTTTACTTTTACTAATGTTCTATTTCGGGTTCAAGGAATAAGGATCGAGTTAATGAGAGTTTAAAACTTTCGCCTTGTTTTTAATGAACTTATAATACGTCTTATGTTTCTTAACAAAGCTAGTTACTAATATGAAGTCACTGCTTGTGAAAGAAAACTCTTTGAAAACTAAATTTTTCTGTACAATTTGTATTACTTATTACCGACTCAAAACACATATCAAATCATTAAAACATCGTTAGTCAAATCGACTTCAAATGTAATGCAAGCGGTAATAGTATGTATGTATTAAATCGCCATATTCGTGGTAATTATTTTAAAACAAATATATTAAAAGTCAAACGTTATATTGTTACCATATTTCTTATTAAAATATGTGTACAGTAGTGAGTTTGTGGGTTGGGTGAAGAGGGAATTAGTCTTGACTCTTGACTGTCTAGGTAAAAAAATGTCCTACAAAAAATTAGTAATTAAATTGATCAAATAGTTGTTAATTTGTTGTCAATATCGTACGCATTAGTTTTAAATTTTATAATTTTTAACTGTATAGTAGCTGGTAATAAAACCTCAGCGGTATTTTTTTTAAAAATTATTTTAATTAACGACTTAATTGGTAGTTATTAAAAACAACGCACGCAGTCAATTTTTTGTTAATAATCGCCTATTTGTCTATATTTCAAATGCTATAGGTAGTTGAATTTAAAACGACTAGTCCGGCTGAAATCGAAATTTATTTATTTATTATGAATATACGGGGGTGAGCTCTTTTAGTACAACCAACGAGTAAGTAACATGTATACACTTTAATTAAAATATTATCCAGAAA